GTGGCCCTCCTCTGGACCCTCTCCATCAGGTCCATGTCCTTCTTCTATTGAGGGCTCCAGACCTGCACACAATACTCCAGGTGAGGTCTCACCAGAGCAGAGTAAAGTGGCAGAATCACCTCTCTGGACCTCACATCTTTAATATATTTCATGTATTATTGAATATATTTGCCTTATTATTGAATATATTTACCATATTCGATATATATGATTTAATATATCAATATATTAATTAATAATATATCAATATATACTATTAATATTATATATAACAGTAATATAATGTTACCATAACACTAATTGATATATTAATTAATAATATTAACCACCTCCTGCAGTGCATCGAGGCCCCAAAAATCGTCCCCAAAATAGCAGTGTTGACAAAAGCCTTTTGAAAAAGGCAGAGCCCCCCCCTTGGCCGCAGCATCCCTCTGTCAGCGTTTTCCTCCCCGTGGCCCCCGCTGGAAGGTGCCAGGCCTGACCTCCCCCCTCTTTGAAACACAGTGCTTCCAAAAAAAAATAAAAAATAAAAAAATTAGGGCTTGATTAATTTAATTTGACTCGTTTTGCTGCCCTGCTCCTCCAAGTAACGCAGTTTATTTTGAGAAAAGCCTGGAAAAACATGTGCCCCCCCCTTCCAGCTGTTTGCAGCCGCATCCCCACCACTGGAAAAGCCACAAATGCGGGTGGCGAACCCCATAAGAATTAAGACATAAGGGATTTTTATTATTATTTTTTACCTTCTTATTCTTTTCCCTCTATATTTCCCCTCCGGTGTCCAAGCTTATGGATCACAACCCAGGAAAAACCCCGGTTCCCAAGTGGCCGGGGAGGGTGTGGTGCCTCCCCCGGCTGCTCTCCCCATCCCAACCTCCAGCTCAGGCATGCGCCAAAAAAAACCCCCACTTTCCCCCTTGAGATCTACCCAAATCCTTCTCTTTTTACCCCTCGACCACCCTTACCCCTGCCCCCGGGGCGGCGATGGCTCTTCCCGTCCGTGCCCCCGCCGGGCTCCGCTCACACCAGACTTTTCCCGGCGGATAGAGCTTGGATCAACGGAGCCAACGTCACCCGGATCCCCCTCCTGCTCGGGGAGGGATAAACGGGCTTCAATGGGCTGGATAACCCCGGGGGATGAAGAGAGTTCAGCCTGGAGGAGGCCGAAAAAACCTGAATATATCAAATTTAAAAACTCCCAAGTGTTTAAAACAAGGTGAAGCAACGCAGCGGGTTTCTTCCAGTGATGAGTTTTACCTTCCCGAAGGGAAATATCCAGAGGGTGGAACCATGGTACATGGGGATAAATGATCTCTAAACCCTACAACAGCCCCCCAAAATCCGCCAGCAATTTAATTGTGAGTCTCCAAAACTGCATTTCTCCCTGGAAAACTTCTCTGCCGGGATTCAGGCAGGTTTTGCTCTTCTCCCTCACGGCTCCCAGCCCACGCAGAGCCCATTTCAGTAGCATTTCCCTCCGCAAAGTGCTTTATTTTAAACAAACCAGGCTCTAACTCAGGGGTTTTCATTCTGTATTAAGTTGCTACATATTTTGTTTTCTTGTTAATCAACAAAGCAATGCCACGGTCATCCTTCAAATACATAAAAAGCTTCTCTCGCTGTAGAATTTTTTTCCCTAACACGTGTTAAAGGTGGAAAAGGTACCATTAAAATAAAATAAAAAAAATTACAAAGTTACATTGCAAAAAGTCAAGGGAGGGAGAAAGTCAGAGTTTTAGTTCACATCGAGGTATAAAATTGATATTGCTGGTTTAGCCCAGGAGGAAAAGAGGGGTTTTTTTCCAGGTGTGATGGTGAGAAGGGAGCCAGTCCTGGTCCCAGTTTCACCGGGACGATGTGCCGGCACCGCTGCAAAACCAATTTGCAAATTAAAATCCTCTTTATTTCCACCTCCCCCTCCTCCTGCCACCCCCTCTTCCCGTACAGCATCCCTTGGGAGATGCTCAGTGCCCTCAACTGCTCCTTCCTGCGAGCGCTATTTGGCATGTTACAGCTACCAGAGAGGTTTGACATCATGGTTTGTTTTGTTTTTTTTTAAAAAAATCCCTAAAATTAGTGCAAATTAGAAAGGGGGGAAGGAGGAGGTTACGCGACCAGACGCAGGTTAAGGGAACGTTCTGGAAAAAAATCCGACCGTCAGTCTCCAGGTTTGCTTTGGGCAGCAAAAGTGTTAAACCCCCCCAGTTCTCAGCAGACCCTCATCGATCGACAGACGCTTCCCATCACCTGCGAATTATTGCAATAGAAATGTGCTTTTCTTTTTTTCTCGTTGTTAAAGAAGAGGAATTATTTGTGCTCTCTTGCCACCGAGCAGCGGGTCCTCGGCCGGGACCCGGCGCTGAAGCATCTTCAAACCGAGCCCCAAATTCTTGCTCCCCGTCACCCGCAGCCCTCGCTCGGCCCCGTCCTCAGCGGCTTCGCCCTGCTCATGGATTTCCTCTTTGTTTTTTCTTTTTTTGCTTTTTTTTTCCCTGTTATTTCCAAGGATTTGAGTTTTCGACCGGAGCCGCCACCAGCCAGAGCCTCGCGGGGAACAAATCCCATTTTGCAGAGGAGGAACCCCCCGAAGATGCTGCGGGTTGGCTCAGAGCCAGAGGGATCCAGGCAGATTCCGGGAGCACTCCGGGAATGTTGGGGTGTTGGGATCTGGTGGGGGATGTCCTGTGGGCAAACAGCTCTTCATGTGACACAACCCGGAGCTGGGGTGCTGGAGAAGCCTTTCACATCGCCGTCGGACCTTCAGAAATCTCCTCCAGCCTTTGCTCGATCATCAGCCGGAGGATGGAGTACCTGGAGAGGGGAAGAAGAAGGCAGATAAGATTTTGGCAGCATCAAGCTGGGCTTTTAACCCAAATTGCCAAGAAAAGCCTGGAATAACGCAAAACCCAATGGCTCGTGCACACATTAGGGACACAAAGCTGCACAAATGAATTTTCAACACCGAAATATAGATTCATCAATGACCTGGGTGATGGGACAGTGTCCCCTCAGCAAGTTTGCTGGTGACACAAAGCTGGGAGGAGCAGGTGACACACCAGGAGGCTGTGCCACCATCCAGTGAGACCTGGACAGGCTGGAGAGTTGGGTGGAGAGGAACCTGATGAACTTCAACAAGGGCAAGTGTTGGGTGCTGCACCTGGGGAGGAATAACCCCCTGCACCAGGACAGGTTGGGGGTGACCTGCTGGAGAGCAGCTCTGAGGAGAAAGACCTGGGGGTCCTGGGGGGCAACAGGATGCCCATGGACCAGCAATGGGACTTTGTGGCCAATGGCCTCCTGGGAGGCATTCAGAAGAGCGTGACCACAGGCCAAGGGAGGTCATCCTGCCCCTCTGCTCTGCCCTGGGGAGGCCGCAGCTGGAGAACTGGGACCAGTTCTGGGCTCCCCAGTTCCAGAAGGACAGGGAACTGCTGGAGAGGGGACAGCAGAGGCTACAAAGATGATGAGGGCCTGGAGCATCTCTCTGCTGAGGAAAGGCTGAGGGACTTGGGGCTGTTCAGCTGGAGAAGAGCAGACTGAGAGGGGATCTCATCGATGCTGAGCAAGAGCTAAAGGGTGGGGGGCAAGAGGATGGGGCCAGACTCTTCTCAGTGGTGCCCGGGGACAGGACAAGGGGTGATGGGCACAAACTGGGACACAGGAAATTCCATCTCAACACGAGGAAAACCAGCTTTACTGTGAGAGTCTCGCTGTTGAGAGTCTCCTTCTCTGGGGATATTCCAAACCTGCCTGGACACGTTCTTGTCCAACCTGCTCTGGGTGACCCTGCTCTGGCAGGGGGTTGGAGGAGATGGTCTCCAGAGGCCCCTTCCATCCCCTGCCAGTCTCTGATTCTGTGAAAGAACCCCCCAAGAATGTCATAAACTCCCATCATCTCCCTCCAATGGCACCAAGCCCAACATACTTGCGCATGAGCTTCTTCACTTCACGATCCTCCTCTTCCTCCAGCTTCTGGATGAAGCTCCTGAGGACGGGCATCTCGAATTTGATGTACTGAGCAACCTGGGTGGGAGAGAAATGCCAAGCCGAGCGATGAAGAGGGTGATGCCCCGATCCCACAAGGTTGAAGGCGACCTCACAGCATCCTCTCCCCAGATTTATCCAGGGAAATCAAGGACTCCCCGACTTTTGTGACAAACCCTAAAAGAAATGATGCTTCCTCTGCACGGCATGAACACCAGCTAATTGGAAAAAAACTCCACCTGAGGTTTATTTTATTTTACCCACTGGCTGCAAGACTTGACTCACAGAATCACAGAATCACAGAATCTTCTAGGTTGGAAGGGACCTCAAAGATCATCTTGTCCAACTGTCAACCCAACTGACAAAAATAGACACCCCCACAACAAACAAGGAGCATCATCACTAAACCAGACCTCCCAGCACTACATCAACCCGTCTTTTGAACACCTCCAGGGATGGGGCCTCAACCCCCTCCCTGGGCAGCCCATTCCAAGGGCTGAGAACCCTTTCAGTGAAAAAATTTTTCCTAATCTCCAGACTGAACCTCCCCTGGTGCAACTTGAGGCCATTTCCTCTCGTCCTGTCGCCTGTGACTTGAGAAAAGAGACCGACCCCCATCTCTCTACACCCTCCTTTCAGGTAGTTGTAGAGAGCAAGAAGGTCTCCCCTCAGCCTCCTCTTCTCCAGGCTGAATAACCCCAGCTCCCTCAGCCTCTCCTCATAAGACTTATTCTCCAGACCCCTCACCATCTTTGTCGCCCTTCTCTGGACCCGCTCCAGCACCTCAATGTCTTTTTTATGGTAGGGGGCCCAAAACTGGACACAGTACTCGAGGTGAGGCCTCACCAGTGCCCAGTACAGGGGGACAATCACCTCTCGGGCCCTACTCCCCACGCTGTTCCTGACACAGGCCAGGATGCTGTTGGCCTTCTTGCCCACCTGGACACACTGCTGGCTCATGTTCAGCCGACAGTCGACCAACACCCCCAGGTCCTTTTCTGCCAGGCAGCTCCAGCCACTCTGACTCCTTCATATGGAGAGCCCTGCACATCCCCGGCGTGTCACTGAATGCTGGTTAAGGCCAAATACACCCCAAAAGAGCCTCATTTGTGCTGATTTAAGGCAGGAAGGAGCCGGCAGATGGCATGAACGAGCCATTCCCCACCCGCTGCCCTTCCCCCGGCTGGAAAAAGCATCAACGACACCAAAGGCTGAGCAGTAATTGCTCTTCTGCCATCAGATCTGGAACGGCAAAACAGGGCTGGGGGCGTTTGCCCTCTGTTGGAGCTTAACGTTGGTCTTTAAGCACAAAATAAGATTTTTTTTCTCATGGGATGGGGAGTTTTCAGAGGGGAAAGCGGGAGAAAAGCAAAGTGATTCCTGCATCCCCAGCAGGGAGATGTCCCTCCGTGTTTTCCAGCCCCAGCTGCATCCCCAGCCCTTCCGAAAGCAGCGAGCATCCCAACTCACGTCATAGGTGACTTCTTCCACCTGGTCCTTCTCCATGAGGAAGACCTTGGAGACCTGCTCACAGGGGCCCTGCAGGATGCGGGCGATCAGGGGGTAGTCGCTGGCTCGTAGCTTCTGCTTCTCTGCAACGCCAAAAAGCACTCACTGGTGGTCAGCCCCATGGACAGGGGGGGATTTTGCCATGACTGACCCCCTTGGCTGCAGCAGAGAGAGGGGTTTTTGGCAGACTCACCTCCACTGGTGTGGACGATGTACAGGGCAAACTCCTCCGCCGAGTTTTCAATCTGAACAGAGACATAAATCACCATTAAAGTCCGTGTTTCTGCCCTGCAGCCTCTTTCCCAGCAGTTAAAAAAATAAATCAATCCCGTTATTTCACTCCACCGTTGCATTTTAATATGCACGGGCTATAAATTCCCCTGGGGGCAGAGCAACCCAGCAGTGGGGGAGGGGATCTAATGTACCTTGAATTTATTGAGCAGCAGTTTGAGGACCTGGGGGGTGGTCATCGTGCTGTTTATCCGGACGTTGGTGACGGAGCCGTACGCCGGCGTGAACACGGACGTCTACGGGGGGACAAAGTCCATTTAAACCGGGATTTCCCCAGCCACCCCTCGGGAGAAGGTCTCGGGGGGGAGGGGGGCTGGGGGGGCTGACCTTATGGTTGTAGAAGTGCCCGTTGATGGAGAAGCGGTGGCGGCGGATGCGGCACTGCTCGCTGGGGGTGCGGGAGCTGCCCCGACGCCGGACGCCCACGTCGCTCCGCGTCCGCATCAGCTGCGGCGTCTCCTCCGGCTGCGACTTGGTGGCTGGAAAAGACCCAGCAGGAGGAGGGGGCTGAGGTTTGGGGGCAAGAGAAACTCCCCCCGAGGTCCTACCCCAGCTGCAAAATATCGCCTGGGAGTCCCCCCATGGATGCAGAGTTCCCCATCCCCAAAATACAGCCTGATAAACCTCCCAGGACAGATTAAACCCACCAGTTTACACCACAACAGCTACTGGTTTATTCTTCCCAGCCTATTAATTCAGAATTAACTGCGTAAACCCAGGCTGCTACCTAGATAAAGCCTCTTCTCCTGGGGACTTGAGTATCTTTACTCGCTTTTCCGTAATTTAACTTTTTTTTTTTTACTTTTTTTTTTTTGTTTTTTCTCCTTTCCTTTAATGAGAACAGGAAAACGAGGCCAGCGCTTCAGATCTCTGCGTGAAAACTGGCCCGGGTCCAGATTATTATAAACTAGCTCTTCATCCATTTTTAATGAACCTCTCAGGCTCGAGCTGGGATGTTTTAATTCAAAGCATGTCGGCAGCAAGGAAAAAAAAAACCAACAACCAAATCTCTGCTGTGCGCTGCTCCAGATGCACCACGGGCCACGGTGACTAAGCACTCACGAGGAGCTGTGCACACACGTTATGCACTGATTTTTGCAGGCTTTTGGAGCAAAATATGATAAAAGACTCCTTTCTGGGGGGCTGGCAGAGGATTAACATCATATGGCTGCCTGAAATCACCCCTGGGTTATTTCTACGGTGCAACGCGTTGCGGGCATCACCCGGGCAAGCTTTAATTAAGGGGGGAAATAAAAGTGTCATCCGTGGGGAGATCAAAAAGAGAAAGTGGGGAAAAGCTGGAGGAGCAAGGATGGGGCAAAGGGTTTCCTGGATCAATGAGTTTTGCAAGTGCTCAGCTCCTCCCTGAACTGGGAAGGGCATGAACACCCCAAAGACGAAAGAATCAGCTGGTTCTTCTCTGCCTCCAGGGTGTATTTCTATATTTCCACATTTTTGCAGCCCAAAAGAATAAAAAAATGGCTAAGAACATCTGCAAAATGCCCCGATCGACTGAGAAAAACACATAAAGTAGGTTTTTCCAGCAGGAACGGCCAGTGGGACAGCTCTCACGTCCCCTTCATCTCCCCTTCATCGCTGCCTCCTGCTCAAAAGAAGGGGTTAACGAAGCGCGGGGCTGACGAGCTCTTCCCCCTCTCTACAGAGGAAAAAACCAGGGAGGGGAAAAAAACTTTGCAGAATTGTTGACTTCCCCATGGCAACGGCACTTCCCAACCTATTCTTCTTCCCTAAAAGCGGAGCTGCCGGGAAGGGGAAGCGCCAACATCCTTTTCCCTACGATCCCCCGAGGCTCTTTGCTCCATCCCCCTGGTTCTTTCCAAGCTCCTCTTCACCACATCCCACCCTTCCCCGACATAAAAACCCTTCAGAAGGGTTTTGGGCCAGGGGGGGTTAAGATTTTCTTGCTGCAATTAAATAAATTAAATCTGGGCACTTTGGAAGCTGCTTTAAATAACCTGGAGCAAGACGGAGACACTGATTTCTAGTGAAAAAAAAATGCCTGGTTGATATTTTTCTCAAATCAAACTGGAACATAAGGCAGCTGCTCCCAACCATCCAGCCAAATCCAACGGGATCCCAGCCCAGCTCACCTGCCCCATTCCCGGGAGACTCCGCGTTCGGTGTGGGCTCTGCATCCGTGACCTGGATGTCTGGCAAAGTGCTGGGCTTCAGCACGGACCTGGGAATCAAAAAATAAAATAAAAGATGGGTGCTTCGTTATCTTGCAGCTGCAGAGGGAACGATAACCAGCATCATTTCCCCTCTGAGCACCCACGGTGCTCTTCCCAGGATGGGAAGCAGCCTGGAGAAGAGAAGGCTCCGGGGAGACCTTGGAGCCCCTTCCAGTCCCTCAAGGGGCTCCAGGAGAGATGGGGGGAGACTCTTGATCAGGGAGGGGAGCCCTAGGAGGAGGGGGAAGGGTTTGACACTGGAAGAGGGGAGATTGAGATGAGATTTTGGGAAAAACTTCTTTGGTGTGAGGGTGGTGAGAGCCTGGCCCAGGTTGCCCAGAGAAGCTGTGGCTGCCCCATCCCTGGAAGGACATGGAGCTGTTGGAGGGGGCCAGAGGAGGCCCCGGAGATGCTGGGAGGGCTGGAGCCCCTCTGCTGGGAGGGGGGGCTGAGAGAGTTGAGGGGGTTCAGCCTGGAGAAGAGAAGGCTCCGGGGAGACCTTGGAGCCCCTTCCAGTCCCTCAAGGGGCTCCAGGAAAGCTGGGGAGGGACTCTGGATGAGGGTGGGGAGCTGTAGAATGAGGGAGAAGAGTTTGACACTGAAAGAGGGTAGAATGAGATGAGATTTTGGGAAGAACTTCTTTGGTGTGAGGGTGGTGAGAGCCTGGCCCAGGTTGCCCAGAGAAGCTGTGGCTGCCCCATCCCTGGAGGGGTTCAAGGGCAGGTTGGAGGGGGCTTAGAGCAACCTGGGCTGGTGGGAGGTGTCCCTGCCCAGGGCAGGGGGTGGCACTGGGTGGGGGGGTCCCTTCCAGGTCCCTTAATGTCCCTTAAGGTCCCTTCCAACCCAGTTCTATACATCCTATGGATTTGGCAGATCGCTGTAGGGTTGCAGCGCAGGTTATTTCCAATATAAACCATAGAATTTATGCCAAAGGGGGTTTGCCAAAGCTGGGGGTGTCTCTGTGTGTGTGTGTGTGTCTTTGCAAAAAGCAGGGTCTTTGCCAAACGGGGGGACTTTGCAAAGTCGAAACCAAGCGCCTTTATTTCAGACTTGGCTTCTTCAGGGTGTTGCACGTTGGCCAAAAACCCCCAAGGAGCCAGCCAAAGTAGCTGGGGTTGCATCTGCTGCCTTGCTGAGGTGGGGTTGTGGGGGAGGAAAAGCCAGGGGAGGGGATGTTTTCTTTTCCCTCCACTCACCCGTGGGCTCCCAGGTTGCAGCCCGAGTGCCAGGAGGAGGAGGAGGGCGGCGGGCGGATGCGCTGGTTGTCGTCCTGCATCTGCAGGCGGATGGGACGGCGCAACCCCCAGGAGATGTTGAGCAGCCCCTCCACGATCAGCTCGCCTTCCTCCTGCACCAGAGATGGGCAGCTCAATATCCCAAATGCAAACAGCCACGAACGTTACTAAAAGGTGGGTTTTTTTTCTTTTTTTTTTACGTCACAAATCTGAATGACACCCAATTTCCTTATTTTCTCTCCTGTTTCTTACCTCCCGGTGCCGCAGCTGTAAGTTTTGCCCTTCATAGTAGATGTTGTATGTCTTCAAGTGTAAGAGAAGCTCGTTTCTAGGGAAAAAAAAAAAAAATAAAAATGGGAAAGATGCTGAGAAGAGGTTTGGAGGAGCGAGGGGGAATGTTGCAGGCACCGCTCGGTACCCGGCGTGGTACCTCCTGAGCCTGGTGGGGGGAAATTTTGGGGGTCTGGGAGAAAACAGGAATTGCTGAGGAATTGCAATGAACCTGCTACACTGCTGGGGGGCCCAAAACACCCTATTTGCCCCAAATTAAGCTATTTGCTGCATCTAGCCCTCCCTTGTTGAGGGTATCTGCTGCGGGTTCAACCAGGGGTTGCCCTTTGCAACCACGAGTAGGGGGGACAAGCTCCTCTGCAACTGTCCCCTCCATAAAACTTGCAAGAAGATGTAAGAAAACCCATCAGACCCTGGTGGAGTCAGTCACAAGGCTGAAAAGCAAGGAAATTTTCGGAGCACCCAAGCCCTCGGGTCATGCTGGAGTCACAAGTTATCACAGGAGCCTTTATCACGGCGGCTCCTGACCTCGAGCTCCAATGAAAAGTCTGAGCCCGGCTCCAGTTGCAAATGAAAAATTAAAATAAAAATGAAAATAATAAAAATAAAAAAATTAAAAATAAAATTAAAATTAAAAATAAAAATAAATGACCCAGGATGTCTAAGCACATCTCCGAATCACGGGGAAGCAATGCCTCTGGCATTAATTCATAAAGCTGTCACTAATTCAGCTGGCTGATGAAGTTTCAGGACGCCTGGCACCACCAGACTTAGTGCAAAGCAGCACAAATCGCAGGGATTTGGGGCCATACAAAAGAAAAAAAGGAGAGGGAATATCATGTATAGGCTTTATCTCCTCCAAAATCTTCCTTGTAACTTAGGAATCATTTCACTTCTTTACCAAAGCATAAAAGACCAATTACTAATCGGGCCCTTTTCCAGCAAAACCTGTATTTCACAAAAGTTTATAGAGCATTTGGCCACGCTGCTAAGGAAAAAAAATTAAAATCCCATCAACAATGCTTTTTCTTTTAAAGAAAATTGCCGTTTCTTGCCCCAGAGTGGTTTTTTTGTCCCAAATCCAACCTAATTGAGTTAAAACCCAGGGTCGCTCCCCTCCTCCCCAAGAAAAAAACCCGGAATATTGCAAATAACTCCCCTTCCACCCGCACCCCCCGGATCCCTGCGTCCCAGCCCTGCTGAGGGTCTTACTTGGAGATGTATTTGTCTTTTCCGCAGGGAACCAGGTACTCGCAGCCGCCGTAATCCATCCTCCTGCTCCTCTTTCATGGGAGCTGAATTGCAAACAGGGAGGAGAAAAAAACAGTGGCGTGAACCTCCCCGTCACCACATCCCCGACACCCACCCCTGGATAATGGGGGGGGGAAATAATAAACCAGCTTGGATTTTGGAAGAGCTCTTGGGAAAAGGCTCCGGGGGATGAGCCGTGGGTAAAGTTTGAGGTGGCTCCTGCTGGAAAACCCATGGGGAGGGAAGGAAAATCAGATAAAGGGAGCAGCCTTGTAAACTCACTGAAAATTTAATAGGGGCAGAGATAGGCTTACGCCAACATTTGCATCCCCCGACCGCCCCGGCGATGCAGCACCTGGAGGTGGAAGGGTTAATGAGCAGGATTTGCTCCTTTTCCCCATTTATTTGGCTGGGGTTTTGCCCCAAAGCTCCAGACACACCGGGCTGGAGCCTGATGATGCCTCCTCCCGACACCAGGATGCAGGCACAAGGGCTGACTTTCCCAGCAAGAGATGCTGGGCTGGTTCTTTTATTTTATTTATTATAGAACCACTTTTTTTTACGATATCAGTTCAATTTTGGCGCCAGAACATCTCCCTCGCTCTCATGCAAAATCTTGCAAAGTCCCCCCAAAATCCCACCTTTGCAGTGGCCCCGGCTTAAAGCGCTGGAGTGATTTTTGGATGCTACAGAGTGGAATGAAAATGAGATTTAGGGTGAAGCCCTCAGGGTCGCTCTCAGGCTGAGAGCACTTGGGAAATCAGACCTTGAAGTGCAATGTTGGGGCGGTTTTGAGCGATGAGAAAAGGTTTCTGGGGTTGTGCTTTTCCCCGGGTGTTCGGGCAAACCCTCCTTTTGTTTTTCCTGGGTCTCTCCCCTCCCTTCCCTTGTCCAGAGAGAGAAACCGAGGTGAGAAAAGATCCACAAACTGCTCTTTTCTTCCACCTCCCACATCGCTTCCTCCCAATCCCCTGGGAAACAAACCCATTTTCCTGCCAAAAGACCAAAGAACCCACCACACTCCCCAGGCGGATAAATGACTCAACCAAGGCTGTGCAGCAAAACCTGTGCTGGAGAATGGACCTAAAACCTCAGCAGTGTCAATCCCTGCTTCTTACCCTGCACACTGGGATATATTCTGGCAGATAAATTATATACAGCAGCAAAAATACTCTTGAGTCCTGCTTCAAACCACAGAAGAGGTTGCAAAAGAGAAGCTGGTGCAGAAAGAGGCAGGGGAAGGGCAGGAAACCGACCCAGCCCCGGGGCTCCAGGAGAAAGCAGAAGAGAAACCCGTCACCGAAAAATGGCAACGGAAAAGCTGACGAAGCCTCGAGTTTCCTGACGAGCCGAGGAGCCACGCGAGCATCCCGGCAAAACCCGCATCAACCCTCCTCCCGCAGCCAAAACTGCCTCTCCCGCACCCAGCCCTCCTCCCCATGGGGATAAACCCAATAATAATCCTATTTATCCCACAAAAGTGCTATCGGGAGGGGATTTTGTGGCCGGATTTGTGGCTTTGGGATAAATGACGGAGCGGCGGCCGCACGGCACCTGCGGCGGCCGGGATCCAAATTTGAGGGTGCCCAAATTTGAGGGTGAGATACGGGAAGGGGTAAGAAACGAGCATCTGGCTTGTGGGCGGCCCCTGAAAGAGGATGAAAAAAGCTCTGGGGAAGTCACCACGAAGATCTAAGTGGATGGAGGAAGGACGAAGCGACACGACACGACACGGTGCTCGGCTCATGCAAAAAAATGTTGCCAAAAAAATACCGAAACGGTTGAAGAACCCCCCAACCTCTCCAGCAGCACAGACTCTTTGCTGTCGCAGGGGGTTTCGCCCCGTGGCATCGCAGGGATGCAAAGGGGTGAAGCCAAAGCCCCGGTTCCCCGGGGAGGGGACAATGGGGTGAGCTCCAGCCCAAAAACCGACTCATTTTGGGATGGAAGGGGAACCCCAAGATGCAGGTTCATCTCCCTGAGCTGAGGAGCCCGGTTTCCTGTTTACCACCGCTGCCACCTTCGCCTCCGTCATCACATCCCCTTCCGAGCGAGCAAGGAAAGGGGCAAATTCTTCCTTTTTTGGGTCTCGAGAGCACCAGGCTGTGGGGGGAAGGGAGCAGCGGCCGCCCGGAGATCCCCAGAGACCAGCTGTGCTGCCCCCCCCCTGTTTTTCTGCCATGGCTTTGGTGAAAGGCTGGAAATGGCCAAAATAAAAGGGCTGGAAATGTAGAAATTGCCCAATGGGTTGCTCAACCTCAGCAGCTCAGCATGATCTTCATTTCCCAGCACCCTCCTGCCTCAGTTTCCCTGCTCGGAGCTGACACATTTCATCATTTCATTTGTGCCTGAGCTTTTGCTGCGTCTTGTGCTTTTAAAAAAAAAAAAAAAATTCAGATCAAATCAATTCCCCCTGCACACGTGGCAGGAGGATTTCATAGGATTTCAGCCCTCTCTGCCTTCCAAGAGCCGGCGGCTGCTCTCCCAGACGCTTTCAGGCCTGATGGACCCCAGACTTATTCCCCCCCAACTGAAAAATAATTAAGAAAAATAATTCCTGAGACCCTTCCCTGCATCCCTACGGCCCCATCTGCTCCGGGGGTGGGGGGAGCCTGGCCCCCCTCGCAGCCCCTCACGTGAGAGGGAATGAGCGCTCGCTTTCGCCGAGCTCCCGTGGAGATGCACAGCTCAAATCCAACCAAAAAAAAAAAAAGAGTAAAAAAAAAAAGGTAAAAAAGGAAAAAAACCAAAGCCAAAGATCATGTTTTCACCAGGGATGGTCTGGAAAGGAAAGGAGTGTTTTTTGGGAGGGTTTGGCTTCCTCGGGGATGCTCTGGCCGCATCCCTGCCGTCCCTTTGGCAGCATCTCCCCGCTCGGGCGGGAGCCGCAGCTGAGGCTTCCCCCGGGCCCCGCGGGGGATTGTGGGAATATCCCGCTCCCCGGGGAGGCCGCGACGCTCCCTCCTGCCCCGACCCCGCAGCCCAGGGCGCCTTTTCACCGGCCCGACCCCGCATCGATCCCGCCGCAACCGGCGGGAAAAGCATCCCCCGGGTGGGGGACACAATTCCTCCCTGGCGGGCACCGGGACCCCCCGGGACACGACCCCGCGCTCTCACCCGGTTCTGGCAGATCCTCGGCTCGGTGCCCGGTGCCCGGTGCCGGCTCCCGCCGGTCGCCGCGTCGGTGGCTTCTGGCCCCGGGCGTTATTTTGGAACCGGGATTTCTCCCGAGCGTCCGGCCGCCGGTCCCTAAGCGCGAAGGTGCAGCAGCTCCATTGTTTTCCAGCGCTGCTATTGTTCCTCGGCCCCAAACGCTCAGCCCCGTCCTGCCGAGGGGAAGGGGGAAGAAGGGGGGGGGGCGGTGGCAGAGTCACCCGGGAGTGATGCCCCCCGGGCACCGGCTCCCGTGGGGACAAGTGGAGGGACACGTTGGCCACACTCAGTAGGTCAGACCCCCCCCCAGACACACACCACCCCCCCGAGCAGAGCTGGGGGCCATCCACGGCTTGTTTGGGGCTACGGGGAAAAGAGCTGGGGGGGGTCTCCACGGGGGGTGCCACGGGGGTGACAGAGAAGATGTCGCGACAGGACAGGGGTGCTTGTGGCTCCCCCCCAGCCTGCGGGAGTAGCCAGCCCGAAAAGAGAGGGTGATGCCAGGGATGCTCGCTGGGTGCGGAGGTGACACCCCCCCCCCGGGGCGTGGGGGTTTTTTCTCATTGGCCAAGCCGCGTCACGGGCGCCGGCCACGCCCCCGGGGTAGGCGGGGCGGGGCGGGGCTGCGGGGTCGAAATCCCGGGGGACAGCCCTCTCCGGCACCCGGGGTCACCCCGACACCGGGAGCCCAAGGGACAGCCCTCAGCCGGTGCCAGGGTCCCCCCCCCCGGAGGATGCTCTGCTTCTGGTACCCGGTTTGTCCCGGTTTCACTGGGATCCCAAAGGATGCTCTGTCTCTAACCCCTGGTTCGGGCTCTGGGACTGCATTCCCGAAGGACATTTCCTGTTTCTGGCACCCAGGTTGCACCCCAGAAGCAGGATCCCAGAGGATGACCCATCCCTAGTGCCAGGACCAGGATCCCAAGGGATGCTCCATTTCCAGTGCCAGGACCAGGATCCCAAACAAAAGATGCCCCAGTGCCAGGACTGGGATCCCAAGGGATGCTCCGGTTTGTCCCGGTTTCACTGGGATCCCAAAGGATGCTCTGTCTCTAACCCCTGGTTCGGGCTCTGGGACTGCATTCCCGAAGGACATTTCCTGTTTCTGGCACCCAGGTTGCACCCCAGAAGCAGGATCCCAGAGGATGTCCCATCCCTAGTGCCAGGACCAGGATCCCAAGGGATGCTCCATTTCCAGTGCCAGGACCAGGATCCCAAACAAAAGATGCCCCAGTGCCAGGACTGGGATCCCAAGGGATGCCCCATCCCTGGTGCCAGGACCAGGATCCCTAAAGATGCCCCAGTGCCAGGACCAGATCTCAAGGGATGCTCCATCCCTGGTGCCAGGACCAGGATCCCAAAAGATGCCCCAGCCCCAGTGCCAGGACCAGGATCCCAAGATACCCCACTGCCAGGACCAGGATCTCAAGGGATGCTCCATCCCTGGTGCCAGGACCAGGATCCCAAAAGATGCCCCAGCGCCAGGACCAGGATCTTAAGGAATGTCCCATCCCCAGTGCCAGGACCGGGATCCCAAGGGATGTCCCATCCCATGCACCAGGGCTGGAAATGCTTTTATGATCGGCTCCAGCTCTGTGCAGGACTCCCAGAGGGAACACCCCGGGCTGCATCACATCAGCTAAAGTGGTTATTTTTGCCTTCGAATGCCCCAAAACCTGTGACATCCAGGGCCAGAGCTCTGCAGGCATCGCACGTCGCTCTTTGGGGTGCGATGGGGCCGTGCACTGGCAGCAACCAGCCCCCAACCACGGCCACGGGATCCCATCCGGATCCAAAACCGCCCCCGAGAGGGGGATTGAAAAGGAAATAAATTCAAAATAATAATAATAATAATAATCTGCCTGGAAGCAGATGGTGCAGCCTGGGGGTCATGGTTACCTCCCAAACGGTGCTCAGCCTCCAGCCTCTGCTCCCGGGCTGTGGGTCCCATCCCGTCCACACACCCCACACCCCCCGGGGAGGGTCTGGGGGGGCAGGGGGGGTGCTCAATATTCCAGCAGAGCAGCAGCACGGCCGCGTCCCCCCGCCTTTGTCTGTTCCTGACCTTTCCCAGTGCTTTGTGGCTTCTCCGGGCTTTTTTTTTTTTCCTTTTTAAGGAATTTGCCTCGAAACAGCCCACACGAAGGGGAAAAAAGAAAGAAAACCCAACCAAAAAAACAAAGAAACAATCTAAACAGCTGCTTTAGCAAAACAAGCAAGTCTTTACAACCGCGGATTGTAATCGGCCTTTTTTTGGTTGTTGTTTTTCCTATTTTTTTTTTGTTTTCCCACTCGTATGTAAAATATGAGAAGTTCAGGAGGAGCCATCTGGCTTGGGGAAACACTGACTCGGCGAAAGGGAGGGGGGACCTGGGGGTCAGTATTTATATTCCAGCAGCATCTCGGAGCTGGCGGGGGATGAGAGGCCCTTTGTGGCCGGGAGAGCCCGGCCGCGCCGCACAATGGAGCCCCGGCCGCCCGCGCCGCGCAAAGCCCGGCCCCAAAACCCAGGGGTTTAGCCCCAAGATGAGAGAGAGAAAGCTTCTACCGTACCCCGCAGCCCGCGGGGTGGATGAGATTGGAGAAAAAAAAAAAAATAAGAAAAAAAAAATAGAGGGTTTTGGCACCTGCACAAGCACAAGGAGGAACTTGGTTGAAGAACTGGGGTTAAATCCGGATTTTGGGACATCCTGCTCCTTGCCTTCACTGCACAGCACTGAACTAGCAGCCTGGACAGAGGCCTTTATTTACCAAATAAAAGGAATTTGAGCCAATTTTGTCATATAGGACACCCTGAGAGGCAGGGAGGGGCTGCCAGCTCCTCCTTCCCCCGGAGCAGGATCCCGAGTGGAATCAAACCCATGTGGAAGGAGACCAAAGCTTCAGCCCCGACGTGGTCCCCACCAGTGTCCGTGAGCCCGAGCATCCTCCCACCTGCCAAAAATCTCCTGGGAGAAGGATGCTCCGGAGCCAGAGCCGGGGATTAACCCATGGGGATGCTCCTGCACCCATTTCACAGGTTAAATCAGTATTTCTGTGCTAAACACCCCGTGGGCAACGGGGCTGATGCCTTTTAAACCACTGGCTTTGCTGGATTTACAGCCCTTTCCGCTCCCGGAGCTGAGCGGAGGTCAAGGACCTCACTCAGACCCAAACATAAAGCACCAGCTCCAAAATTCTCCAAAATTCGAGTCATTTCCCCCCAGGCTGAGCAAGCCTCCAAACTCCCATCTTTCGTACCCTGGCAGCTTCACGTTATTTCAGTTTTTAAGACCCCCAGGATAATTGTCAGTAAATACCAAACACCATGACGCGTTGGGATGCACGTTGGCTTGGGAGCATCTGGTGGCCGTTACGCAGCCTCTGGGAACCAGATGGGGAGAGACGTGGCTTTTAGAAAGTCTTTTGCTCACACCTCATGCCTGTTTCTTTGAAACACAAAAGGCCTCTTCTCACACCTCATGCCTGTTTCTTTGAAACACGGTCCCTGTCCTCCTTTGAGGATGTTTCAGTCATTCCCAAAATCCCCAGGTTTAGAGATTTCTCTCCGGGATAAAGCTCTTCTTATTGGGTCGATGCAGCTGATGCTGAATTTCAACTCGGGCAAGACACCAGGAGAAAACCCAATTATTTCCAGAGCTCTGACCCAGTAGCACAAAGGATTAATGGGGATTGAGATCAGAGCTCTTCCCATCACCCACCCAAACCCAGCCCAGCTCAGGAACGACTGGAAATCCCTCACCCTGGTCCAACAGCTGCTCCACCTTCTCTGATCTCAGATCTGCTCCCGCCCCCTCTCGCTGCTGATTTAGGGGGCTTTTTGCCATTTTTCTTCCCATCTGACGACACCGGGTTTGGACCAGTCACGACACGCTATGCCTGTGTTAAGAAAGGGACTTGGGTGCATTAATTCCCCCCAAAATCACAGTAGCTGGGAGCCCTTGAAGGCTGACAGAGCTCTGGAGGTGCCGTGGGTCCTCAGCCAGACCTTCCCAGTCCCAGGTCACCGCGGGCAGCCGCCGCCCCAGACCCACATCGGGGATTTCCAATCACAGCTCCAGAGAAAACAAACAAGTTCATTAAACAATTTAGGACGAGGAAAGGTGGTGGTGAGATGATTATTCCTGGGCACACAGCAGCCCTGAGAAGGGCCCAGGAGACTTTGCTTTGGCTACAGATTGCCTAAGGCAGGGCAAGAATTTGGGAAATTCCCAACTCTAAGGCTTTAGGAAGGGAATTTGTCCCGAGGAGGCCCTGGAGATGCTGGGAGGGCTGGAGCCCCTCTGCTGGGAGGGGGGGCTGAGAGAGTTGGGGGGTTCAGCCTGGAGAAGAGAAGGCTCCGAGGAGACCTTGGAGCCACTTCCAGTCCCTCAAGGGGCTCCAGGAGAGATGGGGGGGACTCTGGATCAGGGAGGGGAGCCCCAGGAGAAGGAAGAGTTTGAAACCAAAAATTAGGAGATGAAGATGAGATGTGGGGAGGAAATTCTTCCCCCTGAGGATGGTGAGAGCCTGGCCCAGGTTGGCCAGAGAAGCTGCCCCATCCCTGGAGGGGTTCAAGGGCAGGTTGGAGGGGGCTTGGAGCAACCTGGTCTCCTTGAAGATGTCCCAGCCACTAGAAGGGGTGGAACTGGATCTTTAAGGTCCCTTCCAACCCAAACCATCCTGTGATGCCCTGGTGATTCCACCACTTCCCTGGGTTGGAGAGGACCTTGAAGTTCATCAAGACCAACCATCAACCCACCACTGCCCAACCCACCACTGCCCCACAGCCCTCAGCACTGGCTTTTAGATCCCTCCAGGGATGGTGTTTGGGGAGGGGAGCCCCAGGAGGAGAAGGAAGAGTTTTAAGCCAAAAATTAGGAGCTGGAGATGAGATGTGGGGAGGAAATTCTTCCCCCTGAGGGTGGTGAGAGCCTGGAACAGGTTGGCCAGAGAAGCTGTGGCTGCCCCATCCCTGGAGGGGTTCAAGGGCAGGTTGGAGGGGGCTTGGAGCAACCTGGTGTGGTGGGAGGTGTCCCTGCCCAGGGAGGCGGGGGGGGGGGGCATTAAGGTCCCTTCCAACCCAAATCATTCTGTGATCCTATGATTTTACCCCAACCCTGAGGTTATTTCTCTGCTGATAACTCTTGCTGCTCATATTCTTAACTGCACCCAGTAACTCAAAGCCTCTGCTCGGTGCAGGAAGAGAACATGAAGGTTGGTTTTTAAATTAGGGAATTAGTCAATTAAGTTTTGCTGTGTGGAAACACCTCGGTGCTGCCCCTGCAACTGCTTTTACCGGTGTTTTGCTGCCCCTTGGCTGCCCCAGAGGCTGGGAGCTGCCTCCACCGAGGGCAGGGACAGAGAGTGCAGGAGCCACAGGGACCACAAAGCTCTGCCTCTTCCCAAAAAACCATGGGAATTCCACCCATCTGGGTGCTACGAGCCGGGGGCTGAAAGCTGGAAGGGTCGGGGAGGGGGCTGGGGGTTGTATTTTTGGGTGGCATTTGCTACAGACAGATGCTTGGTCTTCACATCCCCTGAATTCCCAAACCATCCGACGCTCCAAAGGAAGGGTAACACCACGCTGCCAGGTTGCATCTATGCCCGTGTTTATTTATACTGAACAGCTTTAAAAATACAGAATAAAATAGCTTTATCTACTATTATTCACAACATCTGGTCCAAATATTACATTTTTAAATATTTAATTGTTTAATGAAGCAATGTTAGAAAAAAAAAAAAACATGAAATAAAAAAAAAACTCCATAAAAGAATTACACATCTCAGAACAAAACAAAACAAAAAAAAAGAAAACAAAAAAACCCCTCTTGCTGTTGAACAAAAAAGTTTTACAGCCAAAGTCAGTCACAAAAAGTCATGGGAAAAAAAAATTATCCCCACTGCCTAAGAACAGTCAATAGTTTGTTACACCAAAGGTTGTTATAAACAGACAAAGTACAAGAATTTGGACTGGCAGCAAGATGATTTACCTGGAAAGATGCAGTAAATGCCAGAGAGTACACAAGGCAATTCTAAAAAATCTATCTCTCATGTCAATATGTAGGGATGAGGATGCACAGTCACAGGCAAAGTGGAACCAGACGGGAGACCCTGGGGTGGCCCTGAAGACGGATCCCCCACCGACGGGCAGGAGCCACCCAGCTCCAGGCTCTGCCCAAACTCACGGCCAGAAGCCAAACTTGGGGATCTCGTGGCCTCCTCCCATCCCACAACCACCCATCGCAGCTCCACGGACACGAGAGCACAGAGGACCTGTCACCCCACGGCCACCAAAGGCCATCAGCCGCAAGAAATGCTAAGAAACATGCACCCAGTGGGACGTTTTCTGCGAAAAAATGAGTGACCCATCGCTACCCGCCCCCTCCCCCCCCAAAAAAAAAGGAAAAAATAAAAGAAGTCGCTTTTGGTTGAAGAAGGCCACATAAAAGAAACCCCGCAGGTCGTGCTGGTCTGTCACACATGCATTTTCTACATGGCTACAGGAGTTATGTTAAGCACAGGTTGGTTTAGGTTGCGTGTAAGCGTCCAATGGCTCACTCAAACCATTAGAAATTGGCTATTTTAAACCCCGTGACCCTGGGGCGCTGTTTATACCACAAACGATGCGATTTGCAACCCTTTCTGTTAAAGGATGCAACGCTAGAAGCGAGCGGTCGCACTCACCGATGCTCCCCGTGGTATAAAAAGCACTGAGGATTTCCGTTTGCGAGCGCCAATTCTGCATGGGGAGTACTGAGATCTCAGTAGGGAGATGAATAATAAAGAAACCCTTTAGTTTTTTTTTTTGGTAGGAACACAAACATGGGTAAATAAAGTATACACAACTACTATCAATTCGTCAATGAAGAAATTCTACCATCACATGACATTGTCATGACAATCATACCACTCCCTCCCAGGAAACCAGCGGTCGTTATCCTGAGTGGAAATGTTATTTTTTTTTTTTAATATATGGAAAGAAAATACTGCAATATTCATGTACAAACCAAGTTGCCATATTGAAAGTCAGTATTAAAGGCATAAAGCAAATTCTGGGTTTAAAGTTTGAACTTTCTGAGCGAGGTACCTGGGTAAGCTCCTCCGCCAACGCACTCTAATACGACAACGTTCACCACTCATAGCTGTTCGCTTCGAAACCTCCATTTCTATAGGTATGATTTGCAAGTATTCGCTTTAGAAAATGTGTTTCAACATGTTAGCAAGAATTTAACCTTAAAAAAAAAATACAATAGAATATCAATTACAAAAGTCCCAAGTTACTTTGTTTCGCATACCATCTTTGATATGACAAAATGATAGTTCTGCCATGAATATTTGCCCTTCCGTCTTAAAAGTTTGGTTAAACATCTCCTCGCCTCTTCGCTCCTCTCTCGAGAGTCGCCTTCCCTCCGTGGGTTTTAGTTGAGCTGTTTGAAAGGCAGGAAGGCAGGCTACAACATCGACAGGGAAAATACAGTATTGCATTTACAGGCAGATTTCTCCATCCAGCCGCTCAAAGCCGGGACGTAACCAGCAAACACGAAGCATTTCAATGCTTTTTCCAAACTACAAATTAATCCTCTGCAACACAAGTCTGCCAGCAGCTTGGGCTGGGCACCACGCTCCCCCCAGCACCCACTGAACACTGGGGTACAAATGCCAATGTGGGAAAAGCATTTTAAGGTCCAAAAGTGCCCCAAACTGGGGGCAATTTGGAGTTTTTCCCCTCATAAAAAAAAAACAAAACTCTGCCCTCAAGGTCCTGCCACCACCCAGACTCCTGGCTCTTCATCAAGGGGTCCCCTCTGCAAAACCGAGTCATCTCTAACCATTCATGCTCATAATAAGATGGAGAGAGTCACTACGTGTATAAATTTGATTACAGAAACAACAGCTTAACTACAGCAACTTGTTTTAGTGTCACCAAAGGAAGTGGCTGGAAAAGCAAACGCGGCAAAACGTCCCTGTCCTTCTCTCAGCCAACAGGATCGGCAAGGTAGGACCCAAACTCACAAAAATAATTAAATACAACAGTTAAACAGAGTAATTGGACTTCACCTGTTTGGATAGTCCTTCCTAGGCTGCAGGAAAGGGGTGGTGTTCTGCTCCAGGGAGAAGGAAAAAGTATCCCTGGATGGGTTGCCCTGTGATTTGCCGTGGAAATTATCATGGAAAGGAAACTCAGAACACACAGGGCTTCACCTCAAAGGAGAGAGAAGACAAATGCCATTTCTCATCTCTTGTCTCTCTTACTGAGGGAATATCTGGGGGGAGAAGCTGGAAAAGCCTCAGGACACAGGTCCCTGCCCAGCAGCATCACTGGACTTGACCTGTCTATATTTCCAAGCTGGCACTGCTTTAAATAAAATAAAATAAAAAAAAAAACAACTTTAGCCTCCCTTTCTCAGCATTCACAAGATCACCACCTTTGGCATTTTACATAATTATAACCACCACACATAGGTGGCTTTTATTTTTTTTTTTTCCTTTCATATATATATATATTTTTTTAACTGCCCCATGTCTCCCCCACATCTTTGGTTGCACATTAAGTTGGGAAATTTGGAAGCTTCGTGCCACTGATTAGAGGTCTCCGCACTCAAACTACCTGCAAGTGGATGTGGAAATCTAACTCCTCACTACCCAAAGAGGAAATAATTTAAAAGTGATAAAAATGACTTTGTTTCACAGGCAAACTAACCTTGTCTACTACACAATAACTCTTCCGACCAGCTTTCGAGATAGCCCAATTGACACCAAGACTGCAAACTACTGAAAGTTCCCTGAAGCAGGAACAAAAACACATGCTTTGTTATGGAAAAAAGCAGTATAAAATAGTTTCTGGAAACAGCCATGGCATGCTGAGAACGACAGCAATGGAATCATTCCCACTCTACACTAATCAGTACTGATCCGGTAAGCTCCTTCCTCGCCCTCCCCACCCCAACCCTTCCATGCTTCAAAAAACCAACAACAAATTCACCTGGAAGTAGACTCAGAGAAAAGAGAGTTCCAGTAGTCAAACTTTCATAAATAGATTAGGGGATTACAGGAGCTACTGTTATGGTTTCTCCAGGAATACAAAACGCAAGCACCGTAGAGCATACTGGCCTTGAAATTACATTACACTACATTTCCCTGATGATCTCCACAGCTTAAAAACGCTTTTGGGGCCACACTGAAGTCTAAAACTAACTTGCAATAGTAAGAACATTAAACAGGAATAAAACTTTTTAATCATGAATGCATGATGAGCATGAACACCCACGTAACGTCAGAGCTGAGACTAGTCCAGGAAAAAAAAAAAAAAAAGATCTGAATGGTGCCCTGATTGGACCCAGTACCCGTGAAACCAGCCAGTGGGTGAGGAGGTCAGATGGAGTGTCTCTGCTCTTCGGGATCCCCTCCACCACGGGAAGGAGCTTCTGGAGAAGCTTCACCAAGAGAGAAGAGGAGGCAACGCAGCACGAGCCGCTGGCGGGGAGCAGCATCTCTTGGTGTCTGTGATTCTGTGTCCCAGCAGGAAAATTTTACACAGCCCCAAACCAGCCAACACCAGCAGCACAGTGACCACGGGGCCCTCCCTGCAGGGGAAGCTGCAGGACACACACCTTAATTGCTTTGAGCTGCTCAATAAATTAGCGTTTTTGTTCAGGAGAGAGGCATTGCACTGCAAAAACTGTTCTCAGGTCCCATCCGGAGGTGAAAAGTTTCCCCATCTCTGTAAAACTCAAGCTACACGTGTCCCTTGAAAGCAAACCTGCCCCTGGACACCAGGAATTAGGTGGTGAGATGCCAAGCAGCAAAAGCAAACGTTTCCAAACCTGAACTGACACAAAATGAGCGGTTCCTTCTACAGCACTGGGCTATCAGAACTCAGTCATAATTTTTTATCGGCAAAGTTATTGCAGAAACTTTCTGTCTTAACACTGGATATCTGACTGACCTATGGGCAAATTAGAAAAAAAAAAAATACTCTCATGATTTGCCAGTATCAACTGTGTCTGGTTTCCAGGGGGCTGAAAAACCGGAATGTGCAAATCAGCGAGTAGGAAACAATCTAGATGGGGTTTGACAGGACCAGGAGTAATTATTTTTCCTTTCCCCCCCACCCTCTTCTTCTTACAGGATTCAAATCTTCTGGCGTAACTCACATTGCCAGCAATGAACGCCCCAAAAATGCCAGCATCAACAACTTAAATAAAATCACCCTAAAAAGTAACATTTTTTTTTCAATAGCACCTACACACTTCCGGAACCTAAGTCCCATTTAAAATAACCAGACTTAGGCACGCAGGCATCTCTAGCTTTTGAAAAAAAAAAAAAAAAAAAAATCAAACAGAGGAGGATTTGCAAGTTTGACCCAGAGACACTAGATCTGGCAACCACCACCCACAACAGGAAAGCTTTTTTTTTTGTTGGTTTTTTTTTTTTTTTAAATTCGTCTCAGCTCTGGTTCCAGAATTTAAATGCAGATATACAAAACATATATTTTAATGCTTCTTAATCAGCAAGAAACTGCAAATACATCTCTTACTACAACTAGATAATATAATTTCAACTAAGGCTATACTGTAGCTTCTGAGTCTTCATCTGAATTCCTGCAGTTACTGCTTTTCCTGAAGCCTTTCCACGTGTAGCCCATGAAGGTAGGGCTGATGGGCAGGAAGCTGAAACACCTGTATTTTTTAATAAAGTTCATGCCAAATGGCAAATCGTACGTTTCCATGCCATCCAGTGATTTGCTTCCTTTACCAACCCCTTTCTTCCATTTCCGTATTCCCCTTTCTTCAGGGCTGCCTGGAAGTCAAAATAAAAGGAAAAAAAAATACAAACGTGAATATCTTTATGTGAACACACACATTTATAGTAGAGTTGAACACAAGAAAGAAAACCCCAAGTCTCCGACAGCAAAGTGCTGGAAAGATCTTCCAGACCCCTCAAAGAGGCAGGAAGAGGGGGAGGGGAAAAAAAAAGTGTTTATTGGAAATGGCTATTATCTGTTTGTGAACAGAAGAAAGAAAACCCCAAGTCTCAGACAGCAAAGTGCTGGAAAGATCTACCAGAGCCCTCAAAGAGGCAGGAAGAGCGGGGGGAGTGTTTATTGGAAATGGCTATTATCTGTTTTATTTTATAACTGAAAGTCAAGGCAAATTTTTACTCTCAAATGAATGGAAGCAGCTTTGGATCCTAAACTATTTTTACTCTCTTCTGGTTTAATTTTTGTCAGCTATTTTGTACATTTAATAGGATGGGGACCTTAACTTGGAAAAGATTCAACACTTTCTCAAGGAAAGGGAGGCACACAGTGTTAAGGAGCCTGCTGTAGGTGTTAAAGAAGTCAACAACAAAGGCAGGACTCTCCTCCTCCAGGAAATGCTGTGCTGCCTTCATTCAGAAAGGCAAGTCATTATTTCAGATAAAATGACAAGTTCACATGCTGACCTGGAATGGTATTATCCAAAATAAACGCAACGCAGCCACCGACAAACATGGCTGTGGTGAGAAGAACGTTTAATACTTGATCAATGCCCGCTATTCCTACAAGAAAAGGAAAACCAAATGTTTAGAAGTTGAATTTTATCATACATATTCACATCCTACTGATCTACATGCAGGTCAACTGGGAAAACTGTCTACTGAGTTCACTGAGGAATTTGCTCAAAAAGGACTTGTAAAATCACGTGGGAATAGAGGCAGAAGAACTTCCAACTAACGTGGTTCACTGTGGGTCCCCTTCTCTCCCAAAATTTAACTCTATGTTGCTTATAAAAATGTCATGAAACACCATTTTAGTTTCTACTGCAGACACAACTGCTTGATTTCAACTAAATAGAAAACTACAAAATGGAAAAGGAAAAATGTTGATGATGTAGAATCACGTGGACCAAAATGATTCCTCTAATAAACCTTTATTTTTAAAAAGGGCTAGACTTCAGAGCACCAATTCACAGAAGAACCTTGGATTAATATATCACCACCTAACTCTGCTTGAATCATCCTCCTTTGATGACGTTTGCTGGCACGACCACTACTGAGAAGGTATTATTAAAACAGAAAACCTTCTCCATGAATTCACCCAAACTATAATTTGGCAAACAGTCTGGAAAAGAGCTCATTAAAATTCATAGAATCATAGAATTGTCTGGGTTGGAAGGGACCTTTCAGATCATTGAGTCCAACCATCAACCGGACTCTGATAAAAACCATCACCAAACCATGTCTCTAAGCACTATGTCAACCCGGCTTTTAAATCCCTCCAGGGATGGTGCCTCAACCACTGCCCTGGGCAGCCCATTCCAAGGCTTAATAACCCTTTCAGGGTAAAAATTGTTCCTAATATCCAGTCTGAATTTCCCCTGGTGCAACTTGAGGCCATCTCCTCTTGGGAGAAGAGACCGACCCCCCCTGGCTACACTCTCCTTTCAGGGAGTTGTAGAGAGCCAGAAGGTCTCCCCTCAGCCTCCTCTTCTCCAGGCTGAACACCCCCAGCTCCCTCAGCTGCTCCTCACAAGACTTATTCAGATTCAGAACATATCTGCGGTGACAAAAATTTCAAAACCCTAAACAAATTCCTAGTTTCCAAACTCTTGATACAATATACCTTGATCTTTCTCCTTGTTCTTTTAACATCATTTACAGCTCAGATTCACCCCCTTTGGTCTTCTTTCCCATCCAACTGGCCATCACCTCCTTCCATCACTCTACCATCGTCCCCAGAGGAAGCACAACTTCACATGTATCCCACTGAAACATGCCATCCAGGTCTCAACATCTCAATGAATTCTCCTCTGAACACACCTGCTTTCTTATCTGTAGCTTTTATTGTCTCTGTAATACACTGTTTATTCTCTTATTTACCCTCTACATCACTTTGTACTTGGATGTACTCTGCCTATGAGTACAAGTTAAAAGGCTTCGTGTGAACGAGCAGAAACACATACCTGTGACCAGTGGATTTTGTTTGAGATAGCTCGGAAGGACAAGTCCAAAGAAAATGGAAAATCCAAGTACAAACAGGTTCCGAGAAGAATTTAAATCTATGAACTGGAGGTTAGACAGACCCACGGCTGTAATCATCCCTAAATAAAAATAAAATGAGTCTCAGCTTTTATATAGTCTTTTTCTTTAAAAAATAGACAGCACCATACATATAAACACAGCACTGGAGTAAAAAGATATAACCACACGGTACACAAAGAAGAACAAAAACCCATCCCTTACCAAAGAGGGTGCAGAAGAGGGCCCCGAGCACGGGGTCGGGCAGGGAGGCAAAGAGCGCGCTGAACTTGCCGACCATCCCGAGCAGGAGCATGAAGGCGGCGCCGTACTGAATAACCCTGCGGCTTCCCACCTGCGGGGAGAAGGAAGGGACACACTTAATCCAACCTCACACCTTGCACTTTATTCTATCGTTCCCTTTTGCATTTAAAACTTCTTTTCAAGCTTCCATTCAGATTTTCGTTGGTGTCAAAACACAGGCTGTTGAGCCTTTACCAATGTCTTGGAGAGCTCAGCCGTAGCGTGGCTGCACTCCAATTCTAACATAACCTCATCTCATTTTGTTTTTGTTAACACTAAGTCATCTTTAAAACCATCTGTAACTGCTACAGCCACAATAACCATGAAATGCAACGCAAAACAAACAGACTAGATCTAGGGGAGAAGGCAAAATGGATCAATTGTAATGCAAATGGAAAAAAAAATAAAATTAAAATCCATGTGCTGCTGCCCTTTTACACAAGAATACCTGTATTAGTTGCCCACCACGCAGTTCACTTGAAAGAGGTGCAGGTGTTTTAGACAGAGATTATCAAGTGGTTCTGTAACATCCCTCTGAGCTCAGAGCTGAATTCACTCCATGAGCAAACCCCAGCTGTGCTAATGCTGGGACCCCAAATGCCTGCACCTCCTTCCCTTCCTTATTTTAACCATCCCAACCTGGGGCAGTCATTTCTCCAGCATCACGTCGTGGTGGCAGTTGATTAACCCAAAAGATGGACATTTCAATCGCGTTATACTTGCATAACAGGTACACCAGGGACAAAACCCAACCCTGTTACGCTGCCACGGTGGTTTTTAGCAAAGCCCTGTGAGGGTCTCCTGTTACAGAGTACAAAGCTTCAGAGAGAAATAGATATTAATTTCTTAATCACATGTGACTGAGCTAAATGAGTGGCATGAGAAAAAGTGATACCGCAGACACCTTCAGGGTCAAAGTACTTCTTTGCCCCCTATTCTTCACTGCTTAACTGTTAGGTGAGAGGTGTTCCCCTAAAACTGCAGATAGACCAGGAAATTGGGGGGTTCACTAGAACAAAACAGAAGTCAGCTTGCACTTTTCTCTATTTTTTATAGAGATATTAATTTCCTTCCAGCATCTTGCTCAAAAATTATCTTCCTGCACAAAATAGGAAGATTCTTTAAAAAAGAATATCTGGACAATAGTAACATTTATTTACATAAATGCTCAATCACTTTAAGGCAAACCAATTAAGCTCCTTTTGAAAGCTACTGAAAGCATCCTGGGGAGCAATTAGCTCAAAATACACCTTTATTCCCAGGTGCTCGTATACCCACTTTTTGTGATTGTTTTGGAGCATGTGATGTGGTACCCAGTGCCTCACTGGAATATCCATTTCATTAGCATGGCAGAAGCTGCCTGTACTTTTCCCCCAACTAATCAGATTTCGTTGATTCTCCTCTCAACAAATAAAACTCGCTCACAGACCTTGCAGTATTTACATCCACTTGAAGCCTCAAATTGAAATTTTAAGAGTAAACGCACACCGATTTCAAGGAAGGGAAATGCCTTTTGAAATGCTGCACTGGTGTAACAGCATCACCAGGACTACGTGGTCCTTACTCAGGAGCACTAAGGATTCCCTTTCCCAAATCAACAGCCAAAAATCTATTTTGATATAATTTGAAGCTGAAAAACTATTAGGTTTTAAGGAATGAGTATGCAGACAGGGAAACAAGAGAAAGCCCTGGAGTGCAGCCATCCAGCTGTGCCACTCCGGGTAAGGCACATTCACTCTCCCATCCGTGCTCTGAACAGACCCAACTGTAGTTAATTCTGTTACAGCTGCCAGTTTAACATTCATTTTTCACTGTTCCAAAGCATTGTGGACTCATTTTTGTGGACTGCTAATAAAAAAAAGCGCTGTTAATTCATATCAACTCCTACGAAGTAACAACAGAAACGAAGAGCAGAAAAATCCTTAAAGAAAGGTTTATTCTAACCAACATTTCTTCTAGGAAATTTCCACCTGCAACTGAATGGAAGACTGACACAGACAGCAGATGGTGCTATTAGTATTTATATTCCACCCTAAACCCGAACAGAATCATCCTTTGTGCAGAAAAAAAAAATGGCTGAAGATAAATTCAGATAAATTCATCATCCACGTTGGATGAAGTCAGAGGGATGAGTTATTGTAAGTGGAGAGCAAACATTTTCTACCTTGTACCCATGAAGATTTATAGCTTCCAAGGCAACAAGATGTACGTATTTACAACATAAATTACTCTTTACCAATTTTGTTGGTATTTCTTAACAAGGTTAAATTAACAACATCAAGCAAATCTATCTGCAGCCCAAGGTCTCTCAGTTGACTGAGACATTCAAGCACACATCCAGTTCTGCATGGGAACAAAGGGATTCCCAAGTGTTTATATATTTTGTTGAGTAACACCCCCAAAAAATATGTCAACCCCTAAGCACGCTCAGTGCTTTAAAAGCCTACCATGAGGGAAACAACTATTTAAGGTACATTTAACTTTGAAGTTACCTTGACTGCAGCTCCTTTTCTAGCTGTGTCAGCGTAACGTCCCTGTACAGACGTAGATAAAACCCAAGGACCTCAAGTTGCATTTCATTGTGTGCTCAAGCGAGACATTAAAAATAGTCAGGTCTTTAGTGATGCTTTCAGAGCCCAGACATCCGAGAGTATCAACTTCTATGTAGTTTACAGCTTTTATGCCTCATCTCAAAACACCCTAGAGCCCCGGAACAGCTTCTTGGTTTTCAAAGGGAGAGCTTATTTAGCATCACCTGCTTCAAGCAGGTTTTCTAACTGCCCTTCCGAATAAAACTAGGATTTTTGAGGTCTTATCTAGAATGCATTTCTATTAGACGATGGCTGGTACGGACAAGTGTAACTTCAGAATGCTGGGTAAAGTTTGTCAGCACAAAGTAGTACAAAGTAGAATGGCTTCTTGGAAGAGGATCGTGCTGTGAAACGTGAAAATGGAACAAGGCATCCTCCAGCAGAGACAAAACACCTCCCTCATGGAGGAATCAGGGTAAAGCACGTACCTTCGTGATGCCCAAGACACCAATGTTAGGGCTGGAAGAAGTGGATCCATTCCCTGTCCCGAATACTCCGTCCAGAACACAGGAGAGACCCTCGATAAAAATCCCTCTGTAAATCACAAACAGAAAAAGAGTCAGACTCCTATGAGTGTAGGCTCGCTTCAGGTGGGGCTTTAAGACCACATCTCACACTGGTGCCTCTTCAAGCATCTGTCCTACATGAATTGTAATAATTCATGTTTCAAGCTCCAACACACCTGAAAATCAACTTGAGTTCTGTTTTCTATGTCTTACATACCTACATCCTTCAACTGAGAAACTGATAAAATAATTCAAGTCAAACTTAAGAGTTTTTCCTTTTTGTTAAAATTGCATTTCAGGTGGATTTGAAAAGCTACCCCAATTCCAGAACCCATTTAGAGTTCTGTCCCTACTGGAACTGCACTATTAACTTCTACAGGCAGGAAAAGGACTAGGTCTCCAATACATTTGCAACAAAATAATTCAATGTGACAGTTGCATCTTGTATTTCAGATCCTTGGCCATTGTGTTTGTCCAAATTGTAACATTTAATCTCAGAACACATTCCTGTTTTACCCCAAGGAAAAAAAAAAGGTAAAAAAACCCAGTAGCTTAAAATACTGAAAAACAGATTAATTTTCTTTTTGACATACCTGTTTATTGCATGAATAGGTGGAGGAGGAGCACAAGACAACCTGGCACAGGCATAGTAATCTCCTATTGATTCAATAATGCTTGCGACAACAGCGCTGAGCATTCCTATCACTCCAGCGGCTGAAATTGTTGGCAGTCCCCACTGAACTGTGAAGAAAAGAAAACTGAAATCTCCTGTGCCACAGAAAACAATTCAGATATCAAAACATACAGCAATTTATTCATCTTTAATGGAATCAACAAACTCCCTTCACAGTAACACAGTCTGGCAAGTTCAAGTAGATGAAAGGAGCAAAGGGAAAACCGCCCAACCAACTGCTTTGATCATGCTTGGAAAAAACCCAAAAAACCCTGAACCCCACCAAAACAATTCCTCCTGTTCAGAAGGAAGGAATTTGAACTACTGCTTGTGAAAAAACAATTCTGATCAGTGAGGCGAATGCCACTTAATTATTATTGTGCTGAAAACTCAGTCTTGGGTTACGAGTTTAGTCTACCGAAGTGAATGGCCAATAACCAGCCATGATCATTGCACAAACACCTCCCAACTCCAAATTTTTGTAGAAGAGAGAATAAGATTAATTTAAGCCTATAGAAAAGCTTGGCAGGTTTTCCACAGCAATTGCCTCGATGCTTTTATCTCTTTGAAATAGATGAGCCTCTTGCAACAAAAGGAACTTCAAGTCACACAAACGTGAATAACAAGGCTTCACAGATGAGAAAGGTCTAGTCAGGGTGGAAAAGTTTTCCTCCTCTTCTTTCCCAAAAGCTTCTATTTTACATCTTGCATGTCTAGCTTTAGAAGTGTTTTTTTTTTTTTTTTAAGAACTAATCCGAACCAAAGCAGATGGAAAACCAGAATGGAGCTGCCTCATTATAATGCTATTCCTAACCATTTTTTTTATTCTATTCCAGCAGAATATTATTTTATTACTACCCCATTAATTTCTGAGCAGCACAAGGGTGAACCAGTTGTGCCACTATCTCATGACTTCAGAAACAGCCTTCAACAGCTTGAACCTTAAAGGTGTTCAGAACAGGATACAAACACCCAGGGTGTCGTGTAAAGTGCTTAGTGTTCTCTTGTAAATACTTTTTTGTCCTTTGGTAAGTGTGGACTGGCATCCTCTGACTTGCCCATCGGCACGACTCCAAAGCCGGGTCTGCAAGTCAGGACATTTTCCTGTAGTTGGTAACAGTTGTGCTAATTCAAGAATGTGTGTGTTTTGGGGCAGGGAAGAGCATGAAGCTGGAAAAAAACTCCACACACTGCTGATCCTTTGGAAAACAAGAATCAATGACTTCAGAAGCTCTACAGGAGTTGTAATAATCCATCCTTATTATTGAACAACATTAACAGCACCTGACTACAGTGTCGACACTGTTAGAGATACAGTCATGCTACCATTCTTATTAGAAGTCAAGAGTTACCTAGATAAACCTTGCAAGTCCCCTCTACAAATTCAAATTTCAGAGACTTGGTCTTTCTTGGGTGAGACCTTAAGGTATCAAATTAAAGAGAAAAACATGAAAAAACCCCCACCATCCCTATCTACGATGTCTTTAGGTCAGCGCATGCAAGTGCATCAGAATATAGGAGTGAGAGAAAACCAGCAACACTTCTGAAAACAACAGGAATGACACTCCCAGGCACATGATGATAAAACCAGCCCTTAAAAGCAGACATACTTACAAGGATAAGGAACCTTGAACCACGGAGCTACCAAGAGCACTCCCCGTCGGGCGTCTGTGCGAGCGTAGAAGCCGTACTTCGAGCTGTCAGGGGGAAAGACGTCTGTCACAGTGAAGATGAAGCAAAGCAACCACGACACCAAAATAGCTAAAATAATCTGCGAAAGAGGAGAGAGAGAGTTGTTTAAAATAAACCATCAATAGCAATATTCATCAAGAGCAAACAGCTCCTGCACAGAATATCTATTACACACGTATCTGAATGTGACCTTAAGTGATATTTTAAGTCTGAACAAGTGGTAAATCCTGTAATGGATCAGTGAGGTGTTTCCTGGCCCCCCCCCCCAGCCCCTAACGAAGATGCTGTTACAAAAGCTCTGGAATTAGAACAAGCCTCTTCTCTCCCCTAACAAACGGGAAAGTCTCCAAATGGGCACTCCAACAAACCAGTGAATTAGTCTCAACTTCATCAGAGAAATAAAGGGAGGTCTTTCACATGGGGAACGGGGTATTGCTTTCATGGAACTCGAAGATAACGATCTCACCACCCCTTTTTGGAAGGCTCAGTTTAGGCTTTCACTGCATGCATAAACATCCCTTCTACCCCCTTCCCTCCCCTCCATGATCTTCATCACCCCAACAACTCCTCAACAGAGAGGGATACCAGCATGGGGTCTGCCAAGACTATAATATGATACTATTTCCTCTGGCAGATGAGACAGTTAAGTTTCCCATAAGCCCTTTAAAGCTTTTATCTCACCTTTGTGATCTGTTGCATTAGTAACAAAAATCAAAGCCAAGAAAAAAAAAAACCACCCAAAACACAAATTAGGGTGTTTTCTACCACCTGAAAGTTCAGGTACTCACAGGGAACATCTTGAAAAGCTGCAGCCTGTATGCTGTCCATCCTTTCTTAGATTTGTAAATGGGTAAGGGAAATTTGACATTTCTGGCATATTGAGAAAACAACAACACCAGGAAAATAGTCCTGAGGAAAAAAAAGAAGGAGAAGGGAGGGACAAGAGAGACATGTCATTACCACCTGGATATAAAAAATCCTTCCCAGCACAAACCTGTCCAGGCTCTTCAGACAAAATATAAATGTACATTTCACATTTAGCACAAGACAAGTCATCCTAAGGGAATATATTTTAAATAAGTTATTATTCCACAAAAGCCAAAACAACATTATTTGTATTCTGAAGTGCTGCAAAAATAGCCAGCAGCAAACAGGTAAATGAAACCAGGAAAATGAATGGGACTAAAGGAAGCTCTTTGGAGCTGAGCAGCCATGAGCAAGAGCTATGCTGTGCTGTTTGCTTCTGCTCCACTTCAACTCGTGGAGTGTTGGGTCACACCAACCCCCTGCAGCACTCCAGGCTGGGGGCAGAGTGGCTGGAGCTGCCTGGCAGAGAAGGACCTGGGGGTGTTGGTGGACACCGGCTGAACACGAGCCAGCAGTGTGCCCAGGTGGCCAAAGAGGCCACCAGCATCCTGGCCTGGATCAGGAACAGCATGGTGAGTAGGACTCAGGAGGTGATGGTGCCCCTGTCCTGGGCACTGGGGAGGTGTCATCTCAAGGGCTGTGTCCAGTTTTGGGCCCCTCACTCCAAGAAAGACCTCGAGGGGCTGGAGCGGGTCCAGAGAAGGGCAATGGAGCTGGTGGAGGGTCTGGAGCACAAGGAGAAGGGGCTGGAGAACTTCTGAGGGAGCTGGGGGTGTTCAGCCTGGAGAAAAGGAGGCTGAGGGGAGACCTTCTGGCTCTCTCCAACTCCCTGAAAGGAGGGTGTAGCCAGGGGGGTCGGTCTCTTCTCCCAAGGAACAGGCCATGGGACAAGAGGAAACGGCCTCAAGTTTCCCCAGGGGAAATTCAGACTAGATAGCAGGAACAATTTTTACCCTGAAAGGGTTGTTAAGCCTTTGAATGGGCTGCCCAGGGCAGTGGTTGAGGCACCATCCCTGGAGGGATTTAAAAGCCGGGTTGACATAGTGCTTAGAGACATGGGTTAGGGATGGTTTTTATCAGAGTCTGGTTGATGGTTGGACTCAATGATCTGAAAGGTCCCTTCCAACCCAGACAGTTCTATGATTGTATGGCAACTCCAACTCCATGTGTTCAGCTCTGTGCTGTGTATGAAGCTCAAAGGCTGCTGCTGGGAAATCCCAAGAGACGGGAAAACTGAAGGCCAGCACATAATTTTTACATTTCAAAATTTGCATCAAACTCCAAAACACTTGGGAAAATTTCTGTCAATGGAAATTCTTTTTCTTCAATCCTTAAGAATCCCATTTTTTTTGTGTATATGCATCTTTCACTAAACAGCTCTAAATCAAGCAGAATAGAGCCCAAACCCCAACATTCCAATCAACTGCAGTTCACCAATAACCCAGTTTATCAGTTTTCAGATGTCTCAAGTATTATGCATTTTCCTCCCTTGTCAAAGCTCCCCTATATGGTAAAAATTAATTCAGCTCTACAGTTAAAATAAGTATCTGCTTTCAGTGAGAAATAAAAAGCCAGGGCAGGTTGCTCAATTCTGAAATAGCCAAAACCAGTTTTGTTATAAAAAGGTTACACAAAGAGCCAAACTGTCTGAAGGAGGAAAGCTTTTCTGAAATTTGAGATTATGTTTTTATCAGCTGACTTAAAAAAAAAAAGGGCAGATTTGAAGCTTCCCTCCCTTTTCTGCCCAAGATCAGTTTCAGTCTGTAAGAAACAAAACAGAGCTTTATTCTCCCTCAGCCTCCAGCACAAAGAGCTCCACGCAAGAAGGGTGTCATTTAGAGCCTTTACTCTCTGCCGAGTCGCATGATAAAGGCACCTTTTCCTTGCCTTCAGGAAACATTTTGGCATCTCTCCCAAAGTCCATTACAGCGAGATGGGCCCCACCAGCAGCCACCCTGTCCTGCCAGCCCCAAGGACAGCTGGCCTTGTATTTTGATTTATTTAGCACAGAGTTGTAAATAATGTCATAATAATATAATATTGTAAATAATACTATACTGGCTACATGGCAGGGGGGGCTTGTTGCCATTCTGTAAGATATTACCGAATCCTTAAATGCCCAAAGGAACAGTTTTGCTCACCAAACATACAGGTAAAGACTGAAGGATTTCCCTTTTTACAAATCACAATGTGATGTGTTTTATGGATCAAATTCTTTCAGCCCAGCACCCACAGAACAAGCAAGGTCAAAGAAGTGTTTGGGCAAGTGACAATCTTGTCTAACAGCATCTGGAGCTACCAGAGGGTAACAGCTCTTACAGGGGAATTATTCTGCCAGGTTAGACAGCAATACAGTATATTTTTATCTCATCACAACAGTCAAGACAATTTGAAGTGCCACATCTTGTAGAGATCAAGTCATTTTTGAGTGGCTCTAGATGGCTACAGAGTTATTTTCACCAATCTAGTGCACATTTTTGCGTGGCAGAAGCCAGAAATACTTATTGACTGGGTAATATTTAAATCCTGTTCCTAAATAGATTTTTTTTTTCCATCTGCAAAATGTCAACTTTAATTACATGTTTCCATGTCCAATTCACCCAAGGTCTGCTTGATTGATTTAACATTAGTCCCAACTTGCACAGAATTTGTTTTAAAGGAAAATAAAATGTTCCTTTGGGTCAGATGTTTAACATAATAGACTTACAAAAATATTCATGATGCTAACATCCAAGATAAAAGAGAACCAAGCAGCCCTTTTAATCATAAGCTGCACTTACAGAATATCTTACATGTTCAAAGTACTGTGCAAACAGATTAGTCAGATCAGAATCTGATCTCATCAAGCATTCCTTCCACTTCCAGAGCCAGCACAAAGTTGGTTGTTGTATGTTGAATATAGCAACACCTTCAGCCAACTTCCTTCTCCCTAAAACGTGGTTTCCATCCGTATTTGGCTGCTCATCCACAGCATTTCACAACAGGAAGCTTTTGTCTTCTCTTCATCTCATTTTTCTCAGTTACTCCCTTTTACACCACTAACCTTAATTCTTCGGTTTCCCTGGCATCTACACCTACAGAAGAACACACACCATGCCCAGAAATTCACTCTAAAAGCCTTTTTATTTACTCAACAGAGATCTGTCTTCTTATGCCTCATGGACTGATGGTATTTGGGGAAATACACCTCCTCTGTTTGTCAGACAAACTTCTCTTGGCTACAGGGAAGCAAACCAGTAATAACGACAAACCAACCACTACTACCAATGCTATTTGCAACATCGTCCTGCAATATGCTCTTGCAGAGTAAGAAACGTACACAAAAGCATGATAAAAAGAGAAATACAAATTGTTCGCTAATCTCTCTGGTGTTTTGCTACATCATGTTTTCAACAGCACTGAATTCGACGTAGCCAATGGCTCCCAGACCAACTATTGTATTATAAAACTCCCTGTTCTCCGCATCTCGCTTTCAGCTCTTGTCCTTTCCTTCCTCCTCTTCTGGGCATGTTTAGTTTGGAGAAGAGGAGGCTGAGGGGAGACCTCATTGCCCTCTACAGCTCCCTGAAAGGAGGGTGCAAAGAGGTGGGGGTCGGTCTCTTCTCCCAAGGGAATAACGACAGGAGCAGAGGAAATGGTCTGAAGTTGGGGCAGGGGAGATTCAGATTAGATATTGGGAAGAATGACTTTACTGAGAGAGTGGTCAGGCCCTGGAACAGCCTGCCCAGGGAGGTGGTGGAGTCACCATCCCTGGAGGGATTTAAGAAACGTGTAGACATGGCACTTCAGGGCCTGCTCTAGTGCCCGAGATTATTGGTTTGTGGTGGGGTGTTGTGGGTGTGGGGTTTAGTTGGTGGGTGGTGTTTTTGGGTGGGGTTTTGGTTTTTTGGTTTTTTTTTTATGTGGTTGGACTCGATGATCTTGGAGGTCCCTTCCAACCACTAAGATTCTGTGATTCTTCGAGTTGTTGCTGTTCTTATTGTCACATTCCCACATCGTGGATCCCTGACCCACTCCCATTCCCAGCACAGGGCACCTCTCCCTGCTGGGAGCAGACTGGCTTTTCCCTGACACTCTGGAACTGGAGAAGCTGAAACTGACACTTCAGCCTGGAGAAGAGGAGGCTCTGGGGAGACCTAATAGCAGCCTTCCAGTACCTGAAGGGAGCTACAGGAAGGCTGGGGAGAGCCTGTTTAGAAAGGCCTGCAGGGACAGGACGAGGGGCAATGGCTTCAAGCTGGAGGGGAACAGCTTTAGACTGGAGATGAGGAGAGGGTTCTTCACTGTGAGGGTGGTGGAGCACTGGAACAGGTTGCCCAGGGAGGTGGTTGAGGCCCCTTCCCTGGAGATATTCAAGGAGAGGCTCGACGAGGCCCTGGGCAACCTGGTCTAGTTGGGGGTGTCCCTGCTGACTGCGGGGGGTGGGACTAGATGGGCTTTGGAGGTCCCTTCCAGCCTGGGCAATTCTATGATTCTATGAACTCCTGAGGGACGACTTACCAACTGGGGCCCCTGGCCCAAGCCAAGACCACCCAGGGGTACTTACAACATGGCGATACCCCAGTGTTTGCCTGCTCTTTCTCCAGCAGCTTGGAAACCCGAGAGGCCGATGAGAGCCACGGTTGGTGTGATGGTCAGAGGCCCGATGTATCGCAGCAGCGCGCCGGGGAGGCCGAGCAAACCGATCACCACTTCGATCAGGGAGGACATGATAATAGCACCTTGGATCTGAACAGACAAGAACGGCAAAGAGAAGGGGTTCAGTCAGATCTTACAAGCAAACCCGAAACGTTTCTTTTTCTGCTCTGGATTATAAACTGCAGTTAAAAAGAATTCAGTGACACAGAAGAACTCAGCAAATTTTTTCGTCATAAAACAGCTCATTATGTTTAAGTGACTTATTGCTTAAGCATAACACTTATGGTTTTCTCCACAAAACTATTCCACAACAGACCAGTGGGCCAGTCTGGTAGTTGTGTGGATAGCACATCACACTGTCAGACAGGAGACCTGGGTTCCAGGCTAACCTTTAAGCTCTCAGATCGAACCGGCAAGGGTTGGTGGCGCCACGGAGGTGATGCTCCTAGCTCCTAGGGGCAGAGTGTGTGCTGCATTGTTCACAAGTGCTCCTTAGAAGCTGGTATAGAGCAGCGTTGTGGTCTCAGGAGACTGTCAGCCCTCTTGGCTGCAGGGCTCTTGGCAGGATGTAGCTATGGTTTGAACATGGGGAAGAGAGAGGGGTTGTTTTTAATTAAGAAAAAGTTTGCAGCCCAAAGCAACGGGATGGGAGATAAATTCCATGACACACGCTTTAATTTGGACTACGCTATCTACCCCTCTGGTGTGATGCCTGGGCACAACCCTCATCCTGGGCGCTGCAGAGCATGAGGCAGTTCAGACTGCAGTGCTGCGAGTGGAGAAGGAGTTGCAGCTATTTCAGCAAGTCTCTTGGGGGAGAATCAACGTCTCATCAGAATAGTCTCCAACTTAAGATGCCTGGGGATGACCAAGGTTTGCTAACTGCACGTTACCTTCCAGGGGCAGCCTACTGACCAGAGGGACAGCAGGCGAGTGCTCTGGGAGCAGCTGAACTGCTGCCAGGGAGTACAAATGGCAACGTGTCACAAGAAGAGGATTCCCTCTCGCTTGTGCCTTTTACTGCGCAGCTTTTGGCATGTGGCAACTAACTCCTTGCATTTTGCTGTCCAGCAATGAACAAGCTGAAAGGATGAAGGCTTCCATGAAATGAGGAAAGAGATATATTCAAATGAAAAAAAAAAAAAAATCGCAGTGGAAGAAGGAATCACCAAACTTAAGGACAAGAACACACAGATGGTCAGGTGAGAAACTTAACTGGAATGGGACAGATCAACAGCTAAAGGCTACTCCTGCATTACCTCTCGTATTCTGGGATACCAGATGTGCTCGGTGTGAAGCAGTTCTGTTGTTCCGTTTGTAACTGTTATATCTTACAAAAAGAAGAAAAGAAAACACACATGTATTTATTTCTCTGCCGCTCTCCCATCATGTCATACACAATAAATCTCTCCTGAAGCTGCGTCTGACAAACGACCCTTGATTTACACAGAATAAAAGTTCTGCAACGCTACAAATCAAGTAATAACAGGCTCACATTCCCCAAGAGCTAACCACTAATTTTAACCAATGTATCAAAGTGGAAAAAAATCATAACTTTCAGAAAGAAAGGTCAAATAGGGATTCTTTTCCCACTCCAATAAATGGATGAATGGAGAATTACTCAACTGCACACTAGGAATCAAGTACTCCGGCGTCTGTTGTCACCAATTTAGGTCACTTCACTGAACGATGAACTGACCCGTGGTAACAGCCCCATCTGACACCTTTTGAAGGTTAAAAGGTTCAAGAGCAAGATGCAGCAAAAGCTCTTTTTGAAAAGCTGAAGTAGTGGAAAAAATTGCTTGGTCACCAAAGGGTATCAGACAGTGTTTTTTGTTCACCCAGGTGTGTATTAGATACCGGCACGTTTTGGCACATGGAAATATCCAACACAATCACACTGGAGTCTGCCTTTTCCTCTTGGGCACTGAAGCCCATGTGCTGTTTCCCAAGAGCTACATCTGACTCCCTTAGTGAGAAAATGTGAATGCTTAAAGCTAAGTTTTCTACAGAAAAAAAACATCAGGAAAAATAAGTAGATGGTTGCAAGTGTATAAACATATAAATAACATAAATATAAATTATGAGATAATCAAAAGGACCCCTGGGAAGAACTTCAGAAGCAAGTGGCCTGCTCCTCTCTGCTGCTGCCTTGCCCTGCCCACAGCCTTACTGCTGAGCAACCACCCCCCGCTCAAAAGCAAACTGCCAGAGCTGCTTCCACTCCAGTTTTCTCACCTAAGTTAAAACAGAAGCCCCCTGCCCAACCAGCTTTACTGCACATTTTCACTCTGAGTCAATTCAAAACCTTTCAGGATGACGAGGTTAGCAAAGAAAAAGTTAAAATTAAGATGCAAACATTGTCAAAGCTTGCTCTGTCAGGTATGAGTTAAACAGGTAAAAATATCGGTCCTGAGGTGATGCTGAAGATTGCTCAAACTTCCTACTACTCAGCTTAAAATGATTCGATTGGACTCACTATTTCCAAATACTGAAAAGGAACATTTGCAGCATCCTTCTGCCTTTCTCTATGTTGTTAACAAAAGAGTTTTTTAATGCTACTGCTAGATTTCTTTTGTCAACATTTTTTATATTAAAAAAAAATAAAATCAAAAAAACAGAAACAGAATTCCACAAGGGTAATTTTAGCAATCTTCTTCCAAGGCACAAAGTTTTAACATCTTAAAATGAGAGAATTTTTCATATTTCCAGCTCATTATTTCCCATTTTCATATCAAAAGGTTCGGCAGTTGCACTAAATGTGATCAGGGTCATTTGTCACTTAAACCTGAACAAGCGTAAACGACAATTACCTGTATTATTACATTTCCACTTCTCCAGGGAGAGTATTGCTCTAGCAGGTGCTAAGAAGGCAAAAGCACTCGCTTGAAACAAGGGTAACCTGGTGGAAAGGGAAAGAAGAGATGCTGACACGTCTCGGCATGACGGTCCTGTGCCAGGATATCAATCCCAGTTAGGTCGTTACTCGTCCTCGAAACCATCCTTTATTGGGGTTTTTAATAATGTGAAACGGGAGAATTTCTTATTAAAAAGAACAGCCATAGAAATACTAAGACTTCACAAATCAAAGATCTAACAGACGACAGTACACGCATGAAGTTATTAATACAAGGCCTGTAACAGCTAATTACCGGATACCAGCAGGCAGGTACCAGACACTGGTTTAAGGGTTTGACTCAGCAGCACAAGGATACAGATGCACGTCCTGATGCAAGGAGCAGCCAGGCTGCTGAACACGCAGCTTTTACTGTCCCACCACATTAAAAAAAGCTCTTTGAGAGCTGTATGCAGTCTGCATACTCAGTACCTCCCCTCCGCATGACTCGCGGCACAGTCACTCATACATTCATCTTCGAGTGTACGTGTAAATAACTATTAGGTTGATAAGAGCTGATTAGATGTTCCAGGTGGCTACCAACAATAAATACAAACACTGCAAGAATTTCAAGTTGACATTCTTAGCCTTGGTGTTTACACTTCCCAAAAGGTTTAAAATCTAAAGAGCATCTACCACCACCAACTACGTATTTATTGAATCAACTGCAGCTTGTATAATGCCACAAATATCCAGATGTTACTTAACCACGGAGAAGATGCACTTTGAACTCATCTATAAATACCATCATTAGTGGATTGTAGTCCGAGTCTCTTTAATAGCAGATCTCAAACTGTAACATGTGGAACACTTTAATTGCTCATGAGGCTCTAGTTACCGCACCGTGTTTATGGCTGTTTTACAGCCACAATGAAGTGCCTCAATGCCAGTGCAAGCACCAGGAAAAGAAAAAGAACTAACTGCAGCAGATTCAGATAAAGATCAGAAAAGGCACAAAGAAGTGGAAAAAAAAAATCCTATACGTGCTTAACACAAAAAAAGATAAAGCCAGAAGCATGTTAGTAAAGGGGTTGTAAAGTTGACAGGCTGGAAGTCAGAACAGCTGAACTCCCACTGGAAAGGATTTGGGGCCATAAGCAATCTCCAAAATCCTGACCCACCTACTGCAAACACTGGAAGCTGCACTAGAAAGTCAAACTTCACACAGTGCCCAAGCCATCTGAGCACAGCCGACTGCCAGGCACTTCCCTTCTAAGTTTCTTCAAGCAAAAAAATCAACGCTTTATCTTTGGTGAAGAAACGGTCGGTGGGTACGAGTGAATGATTCACCTTATTTTTCAAGGTTCATTAAGCAAAGTGAACAAGCTGGTGCCCAGGGCAAAACGTGCAATACCTGTAACAAGCTGTTACTCCCCTATCCCACCTACACTCTGTCTGTCCCCCCCGCCAGTGTTTTTGTAAATATACATTGCAAAAACATTCTCCACTGGTGAAGTCAGTTGTACTGAGATTTGGGTCCAGATTGTGAGGTTTGTATCTCATCAAACACCCTGCACACGTATCCAATAATGCAGTCTTAGCACTGCTCACTTAGCCATCCACTTAACCTTTAAATGAGACACTTAACCTGGAATATCTACCAAAAGGGCTAGCAGGCTCAAAATATTGCCTTTTTTTTCTAACCAGAAAAAAAGTCTTTTTTTTTTTTTTAAAAAAAAGAAACTTATTACTCAAAATCAGCCAACTGTGAGCAGTATCTTTTCTGAAGAGAAGGCTGCAGTTTGGAACAACTTACGAAACACCTTTCCTGTTGCTAAGCCAGGAATCCAGTACCAGCTGGAAAAAGTACCACCAGCTTATGACAGGGCTATCATTTTAATTTCAGGTCTAAATTGGGAAGTTGCTCAATTTTGGCACCAGCCCTTGTGTAGACAGAGCTTTTTATGCAGTTAAAGTCATCTGGAAATGTCTTCATTATCTTAACGTTTCACCCAGATGTAAGAATGCTCAGCCAATGTAGCGATGGGCACAGCAACAAACCTAAAATGTTTAGGTATATTAAAGTGGTATTTGATTGTCTCAGTCACACTAATTACTCTGAATCCTTGCCAAATCTTTTGGCTTATTACATAATCTAATAAATACCTTGAATTCTTAAAATTAGCATGGGTACCAAATTGACCACAACTCCGCCTCATAATTGAGCTAAATCCATCTTTAAGGACCTTTAAACCATGGAATTTGACCTTTCGAAACCGTGGTGGCTTTATTTGCTGAAATACTTTGCAGTTGACAGACTTGCCAATAAATACTTTAAAGCCTCATTTAGAGAGCATCGCTGCTATATCCCACTCCCACCCTTATATAAAACCAGAATCACATGTTAAATAGTTATAAAACATTCAACCGCGGGAATTTTCTCCCTAAATACAGGTTTGCTTATTTTAAGACCCCCCAAAAATTGCCTCTTCAGTATAAAAACCTGTGGCAAGTGGAAACCACTGAAAAGGAGGGAAAAAAAAAAGCCATCACAGAGGGCAGAGGTGGGATTATAGAGAAGGAACTGAGCATTTCACACGATGGGACCACACTGGTTCCTGTCAGAGCCCCAGATCACTCTACAGTAAGGAATAAAGAGAGAAATCCCCAAATTATTTAGGGAAAAAGCCAAAACATGAGAAATGTTAGCTCTGTGAAGAGATACAAGACTCAGGACACATGAAACCAAAGGGTTTTCTAAGTTTGAAGCAGCAGAAGAAAGCTGGTAGAAGCACAGGAAAACCAAGCTCCCCTTTGAGTTCCTTTCCATCCACAACTCTGCACTTTTATAAAATTGGAAGATTTTTAAAAACTGCAGTAAATCCAGGGAGGAGAGACTGGAAGTTGAACAATAAAAGACATTATCTTCCAGTTCCTGCCTAGGTCAACAATCCCTGGACTCCCTACATAAAGCACACAAATAGAAGATGGGGAAAAAATACATCACTCCCATTAAAAGAGAGCACAACTCTGCTCCTCTGCCTCCTTTCACCGTGGTATGTGAAAATTGATGATTTCAGCTCAGGCAAGCTCCCTGTGAGCACAGAGAGCCAATGAGGCAGAAAATATGATTATTAACTGCAGGTAGTCTTGACTAAAAGAAAATACATTGGGGACAGAAAATTTTCTCTCTCAACAATTTTCATTACGCTGTTTTGTCATAAGAATGAACTTTTCATACAAAACAGCGGAGTGATTTTATAAGTTTAATAAGGCTTAATGAAAAAAAAAATAAAGGGAAGGCTTTTTCAAAGGAAAGAAAGACAGGAAAGCTATTTTAATAGCAACTAAAGATTACATTGGAAAACCTAAAATATTTGGGAAATTTTTAGATGAAAAGCTGACCTACAACTGCAAGTGATCTACTCTGGGCTTGCCTTCTGCACCCTATTGGGATAATTTTTCCATCCAAAGATTCTATTTCTTAGATAAATCTTTAAAAATGTAGGGGGGTGTTTGTCCACTTTCTGTTGGAATGCAAGATTTCAGCTCATATTGTTCTTAAATTGAACTAAATGACCCATTAATCATCCAAGTAACCATATGAGGGCATATTCTTAAAATATGCACTTTTCTTCTGGTTTTACTTATCACCCTTGGTTTATTCAAGAGGATGCAGAAATAACTGCAGGTTTTAGCTATTCCTGGTTCTCACAGGCAGAGTCAACAGAAGTTTAAGTAAATATGTCAAACATGTCTCTGCAGTGTTTACTGTGGAACACACATTTTAAAAAAAAAAAAAAAAGATTTATCTTCACGTTGTTAAAACTTACAACATCCTGTCCTTAGCACCACAAGGTTTTTACAAGTGTTTGCCAACACCTGAATTGGTCTCTTCCCTCCTCCTAAGGAGAGCAGACAAAAGGCTACACTAACATGTGTGCTTCTCCCCAGCTCAAGGAAGGATCCTTCTCTACAGCTGAGAACATCTAACAAATAAAACCAAATGATTTGTTTGTACTGAAAGACAACAGAGACATTTCAGAGAATAAAAAATTACCCTCATGGGTTTTTCCTACCTTTTTAATTTGACAAGCACTGTGTGCTTGTGCCCAGAAAGTCTCCTGTAGAACTAATCACAACCACCTAAATCTTGGCAAGAATAATAGTATCATTCAATAAACTAATAAAAAAATGAAAAGTAATTCCTCTTGAGCAAGGTATGTGAATTTTTCCTTTCCCCCAGACACACTTCCACCTTCTCTATCCTCATGGATTTCCTCTCTCTCTTCCCTCACCCTGCCCCTGCTGTATTTTCTTACCCTTGGAATGTCTTCTCTGATTTCAGATCCACCTTTTTTGGGGAGCAGCGTTCCAAAAGCTTTCCCAAACTGCCCCGTATGTGACCTACTATCCTGTGTTTCATGTTTATCCTTTGAAAACAGACTACCTTGGACTGCATCCTGGACATCCCAACAAACATCTAGGCTTATCGTCATCTCAACAGCTAGAAGTCAGTCCCAAATCTCACCTGCACCCAAAAGTTGTTTGTAACAACGTAGTGATGCCCACGCAGAAGAAAATGGTCCCAATCAACTGGCTGGTAGCCCACTGGTCAAATCCAACACACATGGCATCAGCGAGCAAAAAGGGCACTGCTATAGTTCCACTGAAACACGTTAAGTAATGCTGTGAAGAGAAAAATGGTTTGTTAATACTGCAACCAATATTAGTAAGTAAATAAAGCTATGTCAATCTTTTCTTTTTCATTGGCTATTTTTTTTGCCTTTGAATGATCCACCAAAGCTCTCACTTCCTGGTTCTAAGCATTTCTTTGAGTGTTTTCCTTCCCTGTTGAGCTACCACTAGCCTGTTGCTAACGATGGCTATTTCTGGGGGATAAACTAGGTTATTTACACAGCCTCATGGCTGCTGTTCTCCGTGAGGAGGTATCTAGGTAACTGTGCTGGAAACAGCTTCCAACTCAGAAAAGCAGATAAATAACTCCATTCACTTTCAACCATGTGAAAAACCATTAGCTCCCAAATGAACTTAGAGCACACACAAACTAGGCTCCAAACAAGCTCACGAGTACCAGAAACTAGGTACTCATTAATTCTTTTTCAATTCAAACACATTAAGCAAACAAACACGAGTCACCATATTCAACAATGCAAGTAAAAATATCATCCTTACAGAACTGCCTGTCCTTGAGGAAAGGCAGAAATAAAAAGGATGCTCTGGAATGTATTTGTTTGGAGATCTCAACATACTTTACAGATATTAACAAATTCTCAGCATTCCTGTGGGACAGATATTATTACCATTCGAGAAAGAAAGGAGATGAAAGGAGCTGTTCTGCTTCACACCCTGGCAGCAGGGTCCAGCTCATCACTACAGTCCTACCCAGGGCAGCAACCACACACTCTTGCTCCAAGGAGAGCAGAATTTTCCTGCCCCTTCCTGGCCTTCCCACAGGTCCAGGATGATGCTATCAAGCTTGCAGAATTGAAATGGCTACAGCAGCAGCTTTAATATTCAAGATTTTGGATTTCAGGACTAAACCACCCTCCCTATCTTGAATTCCAGAGGTGCCAAATGTCACTTTCTGAAGCTTACCACTTAGCTTTTGCTCACTTATTTATTAACAGCTGCTTAGGAGAGCAAATATTGAAGGCATTCTCACAAATGTCTAAGCCAGCAAACAATAATATAGATCATTATCAACACAGTGATCTTTGTGATCAACTTAAGACGAAACTATCTTAACACTTTCTTCAAATATGTGACAGCGTGGGAAGAATAAAATTATCACATACACAAGTGCAACGAGCCACAGAGAAAAATATTATCCCTGTTTTGAAAACATACCTGTAACCCCAAAAATATGCAGAGATACCAAGGAGGAACGTCTTCGATAGTGTAAATCATGTCAGTTCTCTGTGCATCCAAACTGCCGCTGCTGTCCAGGGTCTCTGCCAGAGAGCTCTGTGGGGACGGGGAGGGCAGAGAGGTGGGGAGGGGGAAAAAGTGGAGGAGGACACAAAGGACAACAGGAGGTTACTGTTACACATGAACAAACTGAATTCCAGCCATCAGGCCATCCCCAGATACTCCAAGGCTGGGATAATACTCCCAAGTGATGCTGGTACGTTACATTTTTCAAGCTTTTTACCTCCAACAACGAGCTCGTCTCAGGCTGTAGCCACTGAACTTGGACCAAACACATTCACTTCTATAAACCACTCCCTGCTCATTTATACTAACACAACAATTGTTTGGTTATGATATAACTGATCCAGCAGCCAAAAGGTGCCCCAAAATGGGATCATCACAACAGAACTGTTTATTAAAAAAAAAATAAGAAAGGAAGAATCGGAACTACGCAGAAGAGTCAAGAATGGGTATTTTCCCAGCAGAATGGCTGTCCTTGCCTAAGAGACCAAAATCACACACAAGAGAGTTCCTAATTATGCTAATTGCTTCCCCACTTAATTCTTACTCAATTTCAATCCTGGTTAACTTTTTTTAGCCACAAGCTTTATTATTTTTCCTTCCACCCCACATGCAAGCAGTCAAGAACACCACCAAACATTATAACTGAATACATCCCTGGCCAATTTCTATTACTCAACCGGATTTCCTCCAAACCTGCCCGAATTTTAGCAAGACCACATTCTGGCCAACCATGTGCCCTAAGAGCCAACTGACCACACACACACACACACACATCAAAATCCCTGCAGATTTTCCAGTAAAACAAGATTCAGCTCAATCATTTCTCCTTTACAACTAAGTGGGATCATTTCATTCAAACTCTGGTTTTGAAATTCCTGAGAACAAAAACACAACGCTCCAAAGCCCGAATGCCAACAACAAAAGCAGGAGGAAGTATCAGATTTTATCATTTCAGCTCAATTATCCAAAAAATACCTTATATAACTACTGTTCTGACCTAATCCACACTAGAACATAACAAACTCATGTGAAGTAGCCTTATACAAAGACCGGGAACTTTGCCAGACTCGTGACTTTGCCTCGAATGGTCTTTACTTCTTCAAAAAAAAATCCCAACACATCCACAGATTCTGCTTAGATAATCTCCGTTTGGTTTATCGTCTACAAGGTCAGGGAAGCCAGACTGTCCTGTGGTACTTCCCCCTCTTACCTCTGATTTCTGTTGGGAAAACAAATGCCACTGGGTTAATCCAAATTCAGGGAGCGTAGATAACCACACTGCTATGGGAAGGTCGTGGGTGTTACAATGGAAAAACAAAATATAGAAAAGCTAATTTCAGAAGACTCTTTTAAATTATGTTAAGCACTGAGCAATCTGTTCACCAGGATTAGTTTAAATAAGATATAGGTCCTAACTAGAGGAATAAGGGAAATTCTTCACTGCACAACTCATCTTGCCAATTTGCAGTGCTAATGTAATTTTTTTAATGACTGAAAAACAAAAGACTGCTCTCCTGACCTGATTCTCTCAAAAACAACAAAAAAATTAGGAACTTGAGTTTTAGAGCTTCACCTTGTGCTGGAGGGAGAGCACTGAGCAGCAGTAAACGTGTATATGTCCTGTCTCTAACTGGAACTTACAAAAACCACGTACATCCCTCATGTCAATGATGTGTAGATCCAAGGCAGGGCTCAAAGCTGCTGAGCCAAAGACAGGCAGAAGGAGGAGGACTCAACAACCAACGTAGTTATGGACAATCATCAGGACACCAATCATAACTAAAGGCTTCTTCTAAGAACTTGCTCAGGAAAATAAAGATTCACCCGGAGAAGCTCCTGTGGTATTTCCTGTTCTTATAAAGCAGTTTTGTTAACCTTTCCCCAGAGACTATACACACACACATACGTAATTCGTTAAAAACTGTGTGTATGATTGCCTCACCTCACCTCCCCTCGATTTCACTGCAACGTAGGCTCCACCTGAGAACTTTGCTCACCAGTGATACTGCCTGTTTGTTCAACATTTTGCCGAAGAGGTCATCACACACTTAGAGAGGCAGAGGTCATGAAGGAAGAGTAAGAGTGGTTACAACATCTATCCGTGAGGTAGGAACAGAGAAGCATCAGGAGAAGTTAACTCTTTGCTTCATGAACCATGTCAACGGTAGCTTGTTGAGTCACCCCAAGAGCAGCACAGATTTAGGGGAACAAACTGGGGATAGTTCCTCACCTGACTGTGGTGTGAAGAGATAAAGCACCCACCACCCTGCACTGAGCAACCCGTATCACTCCTCCCAAAGGGGGACAGAAATGGGATTTTCAAAGCTCATGATGTTCCCATGCAGGATACCAGGTTCTCTAAAAATCCAGTATAGGATTTGTGCAGATTGGTGGCTACGTTTTGGCCCCTTCCTTTTGAAAACCCATCTTTTGGCCTCTTTTCTAGCTTTTCTGACTTTGCCAGAACAATATCCAGTAGCTACCTAAATGTTCTACTTAGTGCCAAACACTAATTTTTCTTCATAGCCCCAATGAGGCTGCATCAAGTACATTCCTTAAGTTTTCCACCTGCCCATTTATTACATTACCCTATATCTATTCCTCATCTTCTTTGGGCAGCAAAAATCAGAAACGATGACCTGTTTCCACCAGGAAGACCACGGCACATGCAGCAAGTTTATTAGTTCTTTCAGAGCCTTTTATTACATTTATACCTACACTTGTCTGCAAAGGACAAAAAGATGGGCAGGCACCAGGCCTAGGAACAAGTCAACTCGTCCATAGCCTGTAGAAAGCCCAGATCTGGGCACAGATCGTTAACTTCTAACCAAGTTCAGCTCTCCTTTTCAGAAGAATTTCAAACTTTAAGGCATAATTGTCATAACAATGTCTGTCCTACACAGCAAAGTGGTTGGATAAAACAAAATCATAGAATCATATGGTGTTGGAAGGGACCTCTGGAGATCACCCAGTCCAACCCCCTGCCAGAGCAGGGCCACCCAGAGCAGGTCCCACAGGAACGTGTCCAGGGGTGGTTTGAATGTCTCTAGAGAAGGAGACTCCACCACCTCTCTGGGCAGTCTCTTCCAGGGCTCTACCACTCTCACAGCAAAGAAGTTCCTCCTCATGTTTAGGTGGAACTTCTTATACTCAAGTTTGTGCCCATTTCCTCTTGTCCTGTCACTGGGCACCACTGAAAAAAGACCGGCCCCATCCTCCTGACACCCACCCTTTACGTATTAGTACACATTGATTAGATCCTCCCTAAGTCTTCTCTTTTCAAGACTAAAAAGACCCAAGTCCCTCAGCCTCTCCTCCTAAGAGAGATGCTCCAGGCCCCTCAGCATCTTTGTGGCCCTTTGCTGTACCCTCTCCAGCAGTTAAAAACCAAAATATGAATCCATGATACTTCTCACCTCTTCCAAAAGCCAGCCTTTGTCTGCTTTGGAAGAGGAAACTCACCTTGAAAGCTTTAGCAGATAATGGCTAAAGGGAACCGACACACAGGAGGCCAAGACTGAACCAAGAGGAATTTAAGGAGCAGGGCGAGGTCTGTCTCCCCTGCCAGTAAGTCACTGGGTAGTCACTGGCCCTTTCCTACCCGGAGCGTGTGCCTGCTGGTTTAACACGCTGACTGTGTGCCGGGGTGTGCCAAGTGTGCCACGGCACGCTGCAGGGCACTGCCGGGAAAGAACTCCACCTTCCCCAATGAGATACCCATCAGACACTAATTCTTTTTAATTTTTAATTGGCCAAAGGTGGGACAACACAAAAATGAAAAAAAAAAAAAAAGCGCACAGAAAAACTACATATAAGGGTGGAAAAAAAACCCCAACAAACCAGAGACAGAGGTAAAGGTGGTGCAAAAATATTGGAAGGAAAAAACCCCAAACAATCCACCTAAAAATCCAAAGAAGCAAACACCAATAACCAGGCAAGACGAAGGCTGTTACCAAGTACTAGGGGGAAGGACCAAAAGAAAGGCCTTTAGAGAAATACTTTATTTAAAGAGCTGACAACATGTTCAAATTAATTCTATTAAGCAATAAGCAACATAGTATTGTTTATTTTATAGGGATGCAGCAATACAGTTATTTCTCATCTGGGCTAATCGTTTATTGTTTCAGCTAACAAACCTTGTAAGCATTGGGCATCCTCCAGCAATTAAGTACATTGCAGTCCTCTTTGTCAAAGGCTTTTTATTCAAGGTTTTTTTGTTTACTTTTTTGGGGAACGATCTCTCAAGAGGAATGGAAAGCCAAGAACAAACACGCCTTAAGCACAGACTTATTTTAAGTGAAAAGCAGGCGGTTTGCCTAGATTACCAGAAATGCTATCTTAATACACGAGGCTGTTAATTGCTGCAGCCCCTCCTTTCACTGTTCATTCATTGTAAGCCACAGAAAAGCTTTAACTCAAGCAGATTTGGTTGATTAAAAGCTCATGGTCTCTTTAAGATGAATTATCATCCATTGTGCACAGTTTTGATCACAGGGATCAAGTAGAAGGGAGAAAAATACACATTTGGTAAAAACAGGCCAGGAAGATATGCTTTAATGTCTAGAGATGGCTAATCTTAGTTGCACAATTTCATCCCAACACCTTTTGCTCAAGGCTTTTATCAGATTGTCTCTCTCCATGCTAGTCTGAGCACGCTCCAAAAACCAGCCATCACAGACATACACATGTCAACAGTTGCCAAAATTTGTCCATTAAAATATCAGCATGATCAAGATGGTAGTAGAACTGTATTGGAGACACACAGACAGGCTGTCTCTCAGAGACAGAGGGTACAAAGGCACATCGTGGCATTCAAAGCATTCTTCTAAACTGTGACACTGCAGGAACTCTGCCAGAATCACCCGTTCAGGGTGTATTTTAAAAATCTCAAATTCGGAAGTGAATTTTGATGGCCGAGTTAGAAAAACTTAACCACACCCTTTGATACCATCCTTGTCCCAAAAGATGTTACAGCCTGAAAGATATGAGCACCATGATGCTCTTGCTTGGAATCAAGAGAGCTTTGTTCTTATTCCACTTAGGACATTTGAAAAATTTGGTCAAATTGAGGCTTTTTGGAGATAAGGCTTAAGCACAAAGCCAATTAGACAAACATTTCAGGAAAAGATGCTGTTCAGATTTACTGTAATCCTCTACCTTATTTTAAACAAAAGCTCAGATTCATGCTGTCGCTGCTTGCAAGATTATTATTAATATTATTATTAATATTATTATTGGACAGGCTTAGGGAATGATGAAATTGAGAAAAAAAACTGGAAAAATCACAACCAATTTGGTCTCCTTAGCAGCTTCAACTGGGTCTTCCTGAACAGCTAATGTACAATCATTATTATCCTAAGGAAAAACATTCAAGGGTTTTTATGAATGGCCTGAAATTCCTTCATAAAGCTGTTACTCAAAAATAATAAGCAGCTCCCTACTGGGAAAAAGGACTAGAATAATTAAGATTATGAGGTTGGAGCTTGGAAAAAATTGGGAAAGACCCCACTTTTGAAGGTGCTCAACACCACCTAAATGCAGAAGAAGTTAAGCACCGTAGAAGAGAAAAGAATGACCTTATCAGGGGAACCATGCAAAAGGCCAGTGGAAATGAAGAAATCAAAAAATTGCATATTATGAATTTCAGTGGCAGGTCAAAGTGCTTTAACTGCTTCTAACATTTGCTGAGTCATTCCCTGAGTTCTGCAACCAAAACGTGTGACCAGAAGAGTCATGAGGACACAATTCCCCCAAGCCTGATCTGAACCTGCAAGTCAGCATGTTTGAGGAGAGAAAGAAAACCTCTCAGCCACGTAACACTGCTGCAGACAAATAACAGAGCTGAAAAAGCAAGAATGAGTTCTAAACTAGAAGGAAATCACTACATACCTTTTCTGCTATGCCATTTTCTGTAGTATAGATGGCCATCAACTCTGTGTCTTCTGTATCCTGATCACCACTGGATGTTGCTCCACCATTTATCACGACCTTAAAAATGAAACGAGACACACGAGGTCTTAAAATAAACATTTTTCTCTACAATCACGTCATTCAGTTTTCTCCCTTGACATCTGCCTTTGACATTGTGTCAGAACACACCACAAGCAGGGCAAGCAATCCCCTCTGTAAGGGCACGGCTAGGAATATGCAGAAAAGCTAAAGCCATCCCATAGAGCTCCTCAAAGCCTTGAAGTGTCTACTGGGTGGGGGGGAACCAGCAGCAGAGCGACTGGAAAAGTTCTTCAAGAGGCAAACACGTAAAGCAGAAGGGTACACCTGAAAATGAATGTTTCCTTGCTGTCACCTGCTACTCTTAGTCGAGTAACTTGGGACATTTGGGGGGGAATTGGTGCCTTCTGCACGAGGACAATTAATTGTTCTAATCACGAACAGCCCAGGGAATTGCACGTCCTGCAAACAGCACTGCTTTGGAAGCAGAAGTGAAATAATTACAAAGAACATAACTGGCCATGTTTATACATAAACAAGTGGCAAAAGAGATTTTACTACTTGTGGAAATAAAGGGTTTGCAGAGCATGGCTGGAACAAAGCCTTATTCACCAATTCACACCGAGCTGGAGGATGCAGCACCTGAGTGTCTTACTTACAGGCAGGGTGAAAAAGGTGGGATGTTTAGATTCATCTTCATATTTGCCTTCTGTTGAGCCTCCTGCCTCCACCGATTTGGAAGTGGTGTTCTTGCCAATCCCCATTGTTTCCAGAATGTCAAGGACTTGCATGCAGCACCCAAGCGGTGCTCCTGGGATGACAGACTAAGGACAATTTCTTACTTCAACAGCAGCACCTCCAGGAATCACAAAAGTGCTCAGGAATCCAGCTGGGACATTAGGGTTGCTTTTTTAAGTATCGTTAGCATCAATGCCACCTAGAATTGAAGAGAGAAATTCATTTTTTTCTTGATTACCTAAGATAGATGTACAAACACATATGCCCCGCAGCCTTGGTTCCCTTTCAGGCTCATGACTCACCCACTCTTATCGTTCCTTTTTGATTTGATAATTAGCAGATTATCATTTACAGATAAAGCTGATGGCATTTTAAATTCTTTTCATGATGGGAATACTGTGACTATTCCCTCGTTCTCCTCTTGTGGTCTCCAATTATTGGTGGTATATTGAAACCTTGGGTTTGTTTCTTTTTCACATAGAACTTTCTGGGAACAAAGTACCTGTCCTGCAGCCACGCAGTGATGTAAAAAGAGCTTGTTCTTGTAAATTTGCAGACTGTGAATTTGTAGACCTACTTACAAGTTCACCTCTGTAAAACTAAATCCTTCCTTCTAAAATGATTTGTTTTTAAATAAAAAGCATCCTAGATGGACGGTGGAGCACACCTGACTTTCAGTGAGCCCATTTCACACAGACATAAACAGCCTTTTCTGGTGAAGACCCTCACCCAAAATTATCCCAGTTCCACAGGGGACGTTCAGAGTAACCTACCTGAGGATGTTGAAGCAACTGCTTCAGGATAAAACTGCATTTTAATTAGTATCACTCCTGCTTTGGCACAGGAACAGGAAAGATCGTACAGGCTACTGGTTCTCTCTTGTTTTCCCAGAGGGATCACTACAGTATGGTTTTCCCATGGTTTGTTCCTTAAATTAGCCCTGCCAGTCCAGGCTCATCCACACTGTTGCCATTTCCAAGAGTAAGGTACATGAATTAATAGATTTTAACCTAAACTTGCCACAGGACAGGGTAGAAAAATTCTTCAACAAACCAAGTTTTGCGACCTGAACCTCAAAAAAACCTGCAGCTGCAGACAAAAGAAGCACAGCTACAGATGGAAGTACATGATGGAACCTGAAAAATGACCTTTTCAAAATCATATCAAGTGAAATTTTTTGCAAAGCCAGGAACACAATCAAGCAGCAAACCCCACTACCCACCAGCGTTACTTCAAAAGCAAGTTCACGACATTTTCACCTTAATTCCTAGAGGTGGGAATGCAGCTAATGGACATGTTGTCCCAAAAACACAGTTATGTATATATCAGAAAGCAATAAAATAGAGTTTGGGTTTTTTCTTAAACCTTCCTTCCAAAATGCAGCGCAGGAAACGCCAGCAGCTTGAACGTCTCCTGTAATTGCAATAATGAAAGTTGACAAAGACCCCTCTGCTAGGGGCAATTTAGCACTGTTTGAAAAATTACAGAGTAGTAATATTTTAGAACCTCTTAATAGCTGTTAATAGCCCATTTGCTAGAAAATTCTGATTACTTGAGGTGAAAGAGACATTAGTCTTTCAAAGCGACCTAACTTTTTAAGAGAGAAAATAAACATACATAAGAAACACTACTTGGGATACATTGAGATACAATGAGACAGCCTGGAAGCACTCCTAATTCAATCAAAACGTAATGGAAAGTAGCACCTTCAAATAAGAGGTTAATTAAGACTTGTGTCTTAAAGTAAATATTAAGATAACATAATTAATGATTTCTCACTCAAACTTAAGACTGAAGGAAAAGAGTAGTTAGAGTGCTCACTGTTACACCTTTCTGGAAAAGACATTCCCATTATTACAGTAACTTCCCCTTCAAGAAGTGCAAATCTCCAGACACAAACAGCTACTTTAAATTAGTTTCCCTGGTCCCGACTCCGTGCTCAGAAAAGCAGTGATGCCTCCTCCAATCTCTGCAGAACATGGACCTGTTGGAGTGGGTCCAGAGGAGGCCACGGAGATGCTGGGAGGAGGGACCGAGAGAGTTAGGGGGGTTCAGCCTGGAGAAGAGAAGGCTCCGGGGAGACCTTGGAGCCCCTTCCAGTCCCTCAAGGGGCTCCAGGAGAGATGGGGAGGGACTCTGGATCAGGGAGGGGAGCCCTAGGAGGAGGGGGAAGGGTTTGACACTGGAAGAGGGGAGATGGAGCCAAGATGTGGAGAAGAACTTCTTTGCTCACCCTCAGGGTGGTGAGAGCCTGGCCCAGGTTGCCCGGAGAAGCTGTGGCTGCCCCATCCCTGGAGGGGTTCAAGACTAGGGTGGAGGGGGCTTGGAGCAACCTGGTGTGGTGGGAGGTGCCCCAGCCACTAGAAGGGGTGGAACTGGATGATCTTGAAGGTCCCTTCCAACCCAAACCAGGCTGTGATTCCCTGGCCATTCCACCACTTCCCTGGGTTGGAGGGGACCTTGAAGTTCACCAAGACCAACCATCAACCCACCACTGCCCAACCCACCACTGCCCCACGGCCCTCAGCACCGGCTTTTAGATCCCTCCAGGGATGGTGCTTGGGGAGGGGAGCCATAAGATGAGAAGGAAGAGTTTTAAACCAAAAATTAGGAGATGGAGATGAGATGATGGGAGGAAATTCTTCCCCCTAAGGGTGGTGAGAGCCTGGCCCAGGTTGCCCAGAGAAGCCGCCCCATCCCTGGAGGGGTTCAAGACTAGGTTGGAGGGGGCTTGGAGCAACCTGGTGTGGTGGGAGGTGTCCCTGCCCAAGGCAGGGGGCGTGGAACTCAAAGATCTTTAAGGTCCCTTCCAACTCTAACCATTCCACGATTCTATGAACAGTCGTCTCAAAGCTGCCTATGTAGGTCTGAGAGGTGACACCAACAGGTTAGAGAGGACTAAGAGAGTGACACCAGTTAAAGGTTTGGGGGCAGTGGGAGGGGTCTCTGGGGTGGAGAGGTTTTTTGAGGGGTTCTGTTTGCTTTTATTGTAGAGGTACGAGGATTTTTTTCAAGCACACAAGAAAGAACGAAAAAGAAAATAAAAGAATTTGCCTTTTTCTGTCAATGCAGACATATTTTATTCTCCAAGAAAATCAGCGATGGAGACAGGCGTAGTTTAGTCTGGCAGCTTTATCAGCTCAGATTGGAAAGGAAGAGGGAAAGGGCAGAATTACACCTCCCTGAGAAATACAGCCACGCCAATAAAATACCAGTGTAAGAGTTACACCAGCAGGAAACCTGCCATTCAGGAGAGCTGGTTTACAGTATTCTGGCACCGTAAGCCTCTTAAGTTAGCATTAACCAGCATCTCCACCGATGCAAAAGAAAAGACCATATAATCCTATTTTACTTTGCATTGCAAAACAGTCAGCCCGCTGTCTGCTCAGCGGAGACGTGATCGTTGCTCGGGAATTGTTCTTGAGAATTACATCAGGAGAGCACACAAATAAGCTGTGCCTCCTATGAATTCTTGAGAGCCAAACCACAATGGCTGGAATGATAGTGGTTGGATGAGGGTTCCCAGATAATGACCAACAAGTGACTCCAATTAACAGGCAAAACCAGCCTCATTGCTAATTTTCCTAGAGAGAGGGAGAGTGTGTATGTGTGTGTACACCCACATTTATATGCACACAAACACTACATACATGTGTTGGGGGGGGGAACATGCAGAAAATGTGGAGAACAAATCTAAATCTTGTTGCTTCTACTCAGCAATTAAACTTGCACTTTATGGCACAGATGATAAACTGAGATTTTTCAGAATACTTTTATTCTGCAATCACGTGTTGAATTGAAACAGAAATCTTTAGGCAGCAGGAGATAGATTAGGTTATCTGAAAGATATCAGTCTGTTTTATCAGACCTCTTATCCCACCAACTGAGCATAGCTGAACAAGATGACTCAGACCTTTATAGCCCTCTGTAACACATTTAACTGATCAGAAGCTGAAAAGCCATGTAAAAAGAGATAAAAGTCATTCACCAGCAGCTCGGTACACACAGTACACTGAATTACTTGCTGCCTTGGAGTGAAGTGAAATTTCCACCAAGATACTGATTAACATTCATCTCTTTCTGTATCAAATTATCTCCAGTGCTCATACATGATTAACCCAGGAAGGCCAAAAGCTGTCACAGCCTTACAATGCTTTAGATAAGATCAGTATCTGGACAAATAGTTACTGCAGGGGATAGTCCAGATGCAAGTTCACAGGAGGAAAACCCTCCCAGCTGGGGAAAGGCCACTCTGGATCTTCCACACACTTGCATTTTCTCACTTCCACACTTTGATACCATCAGGAGGGACACAAAGCTACAGGAGTGTCTGGTTTGACATCTGTAGTTCATGACCACTAATACCACATTTTCTGTTTTACCAAGGGAGCTCCCCTTTTGTTTTAACAAGTTACAATGCATTTCAAAGTTCACTGAAAGAAAAACAACAAAAACCATCAGAGATGGAGATGTACAATTCAAGACTGCAATTAAACATACTTTTCTTTCCCTCCTTTCAGTCTCTGCCTGCAAGTCATTTCTCTGGAACCTCTGCCACAAATAAAAACCTTCACTGAAGCATACAACAAAGGTTCTCCTGCAGAGAAATCTGCCCATATACCAAGACAGGCTGCACGAAAAGCTTCTACTTCATAAGGTACCAAACTGCATGCAAGTCTACCTAAAAATCATTTGAAAACTCATCTCTTACTAGATTCAAGACTTAACCTGGGCAGAAGATACAGATACACATAAACAGCTTATTAACATGGAATGGAAAAATGGCCCATGAAGCCCATTAAAGGAGAAGGTAAATGTAATATATAGATTTTCTCCTTTGCACGCACTGTTTTCTTTAAAAGCAGCATCATTTGATCTAGCTCTTGGCTGAACCCCCTATAAATGTTCCCTGCTTTTCCGTATCATTCTGAGAATACCCAGTTAACAATTACAAAAGACAAATAAAAATATTCAGATTTGCTGTGATGGCATTAATCTCTACAGTGCTGTGTTTGAGGGCCTTTAACATTTGAATCCTGAGCTTGGCAAAGCACAGACGGGGGTAAACAAAACCAACCCAACCTCCAGAGGCTACAGCTACAGCTTGGGGCAACAGGTTCTTGGCATTTGTCTGCTTGTTTGGGTTTTTTGCTTTAAAAATCCATTAGAAGAGTCAACAATTTGTCAGGGGCTGTCAGA